TTTAACTTAAAGAACTTTCAGCATTTCTTGCAAGGCAAGTCTAGGGGTGATAAACTCCATCAGCGTTTGTTTGTCTAGGAAAGTAGTTCTCTTTATTATCTGAAGGACAAAGTTGCCAGATAGAATGTTCAATATTCTTGACTGGTAACTTTTTTCCCCAACACTTTGAATGTGTCATTCCACAATCTTCTGGTCTGTAGGGTTCCTACTAACTAATTGCTGATAGCCTAATGGGAGGTTCCTTTGTATATAATTTCTAGGCCTTAATTGCTTTTAGAATTTTTTCTTTATCCTTAATCTTTTCATTTTGTTATAGTGTATCTTTAAAAAGGTCATTTTGCATTGAGATAATAGAGTAATCTATTAGCTTCATGAACTTGAATCTCTAATTTCTCCAGTTTTGGTAAATTTTCAACTGTTACTTCTTTTAAATAAATTTTCTCAACCCTTCCTTCTTCTCCTTCTATCATCCCAATTATTATAATATTTTTGTTGTTGTTGTTGTTGTAGAATCCCTTTAGCTCATGCCAGATGTCTTTGTTCTTTTTCATTCTTTTTTCTTTGTTCTCCTTTTATTGGCTGTTTCAAAATTCCTAGCCTCTGACTCACTTATTCTATCTTCCATTCATTATGCTCCCTATTTTATTTTGCATTCATTAGAGTTTGAGTCTTTTTCATGATTTCTATCTTTTAGATAAAAGGTAAAAATCTCCTGTTGACCATATATATTTTTCAAGATTTTGTTTAGTTTTCTTATAGCTTGTTGAGTTTCTTCAAAAAATTCCTTACCAATTAGATCACTAATTTCATGCCTTTGAGCTCAGTTATTGGAGAATTATTATTTTTTCTTTATGATGTCATGTTTTCTTGATCTTTTGTGTTTCTGGTAGTTTTGTGTTGCTGTCTCATTTGAAGTAACAGACACTGTAAATCTTCATTAGTTGCCTTCAGCTAGGGTAATCTGCTCCATTCTCTTGGCCCGTCTTGTGACAAAATCTTTTGCGATTATGTCTTTTCTGCTTATTTCCAACTCACCAGGCTGGCTAGTGGAAACTTCTCTTTTGTTTTCCAAAGGTGATGCTGTAATTCAAGTTTATGGTTTCCTAGGCCCACAGTTTTCTAAGGGTGCTCCCAGTCTACTGGAGCTCACTCTCCAGCCATCCAGAGAAATGCACCCAAGAAGTGAGCTGCAGAGTGTGGGGAGATATGGGTTTAGCACGTGGACACTGAGGGTGATTGTTGATTGAGTAGGGAGCTACTGGGTATGGAACTCTCACGGGACTGTGGGTAGGCTTACTACTGTACACAATACCTTTTATACCTTTTGAGATTATTAATTGCCTCTTTCCCAATGTCCTTTGTTACCCAAATCATGGAGATTTCCCCTCAATATCTCAGGTCCTGTTTCCTGAAGAGAAATAGGTTTCTTCAGCCAAGTCTCCCATAACTTGGGTGTCCAGCTACTCATTCACTGCTGTCATTTTCCCCCATGAGGGAGGTTACCACCTCAGGATAAGTCAGCCAGCCCCTTGCAATGTTTGCTTGGAGTCATTTGGCAGTGGAAAATTTTTTCTTAACCCCTATTCTGCTGTGATCAAACTCATATATTTCTTTTTTCTTTTTTTTGCTTCAATGGCATGCTGGAATCTGCCCCCAGGAAGACTGGACTCCTACAAATTCTCTCTCTTGTATGCATATCTGCCCAGATCAGAATTCTCCAGGTTTTTTGTTGTTTTTTTTTCCACTGTGGTGAGACTGGTTTGGGAAGATTTGCTGGCTCCACTGGTTTTACAGCCCTTGCTAAGTTCTGTTTGACTATTACTGTATTATTACCATATGTATAGGGCGGCATGATTCTTCCCAGCCTCTTGGCATATAGTGGTAGATCCCACAAGGTGATTTTGTTCTTGGATAATGTCTAATTTACTGCTTAAAAAGAGGGATGAGAAAGAGGAACATTGTGTATCATCATAATGCTGACATCACTCTCCTGCTTTTTATAAGTTACTATTTAATTATTAGAGCAGGCCCTTTATTTAAAGTCCTAGTAGGAAACTTTTCTTTAGCAAGACTTAAGTAACTGTAAGTACCAGGTAATGAAATAATACTGTACTTTCAAAATATTATAGAATTAGAACTTTTTAAGAAACCAAATGCTTTTCTTTCATACCACCCTCCTTCTCTGCCCATCCCACTACTGAGACTACACGTGAAGTGTTTAGTTCTTTCCATATATTCTTTACTACAAATGTGCTTAGTTTTTTCATTATACTGAATGAAGACAGAGGCTGGAATTATGGACCACATACATTTTAAAAAGTTAAAGAAGAAGAGTTTGATTATGAGTGCCTGAAGCTCATTTCTCTGTTGAGCCAGAGCCGGGAGCAGAGCAGGCAGAAGGACCGAAGTACACTGCTGAGGGGAGCAGCGGGCGGCAGGAGAGGTCTGCGCGCCATGTGGGACCCTCCTCCAGTGGCCGGGGAGGCTGCGGGCAGCTTCACAACCCAGCGCTCAACCGCTGCGCCACCGGAGAGGCCCTACCCTACCATTTTAAAAGACAGCCCTGACTGATCACTCAATGAAAGAAGCATTTCATTATTACTTTGCTTTCACAGACTTGGATGTTTCCAAGTCTACACTTCAATATCTAGGTCTTATTCATTAGCATTTAAATGGAAAACAATAGCATCTAGGTTGGACTTGGTGATACTGTTTGGCCATGACAAATAGATGGTGGTGTCTAAAACTTGTTTGTGTCAGAGATTAAAAGTATGCACAAGTTCTTACCCAACCATAATCTTCCCCTGGTCCCTGGAGTTGGAGTTGTGGGCCTTTTAAACCCCCAGATAGTTGGGCACGATTGCTCATCTTTGATGCCTTCTCTCCTCACAACTTCACTTTCCCACCTCTTTTCCTTGTCTCTGTGGAGATGAGCATTTGTGAGTGAGTATGGAGCTGCATGGGGGAGGGATTGTGTGTGAGTGTGTTGACTTACATTTCAGTCTGTCTTTCAGAGGAGGGAGACAGGTTAACCATAGCTAAAGGCAGAAGAGAATGTTGTTTCATCTGTTGGTGTCCACCTTGGGAAATAAAATGTAAAGTCGGCCAGGGTCTTAGAGGGACACATTAATCATAATCTTGAAAATCAGATTTTACTGAGGGCTGTGCAAGATAGTAAGCTTTTTACATAATTTACTTAATCCTCAAAGAAATGTCTGAACTAAGTGCCCTTAATTAGACTCATTTTACAGATAAGGAAATTGAGGCATGGAGAAACTGAGTTTCCCAAGGTCGCATAGCTAGTAAATGACAGAAAGGAGTAGAAGGAACTCTGATGGTATCATCCCCAGACCTGGATACCTTCCTTCCTGGGATTTTATTGAGGGGGGAAATTTGTGTGTAACAGTCACTGCCCCAGTTGTCAAAGGATACTAGAAATTGTAGAGTTCTAAAAATCTTTGAGTTGAAAGGCACCTGAGACATTACTTGATTCCTTCCCTTTGCTGATATGTGACTCTTGAATATTCCCAAGAGGTCTTCCAGCCTTTGCTGGAATGTCTCAAAGGAGTAAGGAATTTATTCTCACATGAGGAAACCTATTTTTGGATAACTTGACATGATAGACTATCCAGCCAGCCAGACTCCCTCCAACTTTCATCAGTCTCATTAGAGCTATACAGTCTCCTCTCCCCAGAGATTACCAGGTGAGCCTGCCTTCCAGCTGTGAGATCAAGGATGGCCATGCTGTCCATTTCTACTACCTTTGACTTTGTGGCATGTGAAACTAGAGTTCTTTTGAAAAGAAGCAGAAAGTTAAGGGTTAGAGTATGGGGCAGTCTCTCTCCCAGGGAGTGTCATCTATTATGTGACATGTTGCTAACCTTCTCCCAATCCCACTGAATTTCCCAGCTCTCCCCCTGAAAGCCTTGGAGATTCGAGATACATCATCACTATTCCACATCAACATTATTTACTCTAGGAGCCAAATACAGTATTTACTCTAGGAGCCAAATACCTGCTTCATTGGGAAGTACACCAAGGAATTCAAGGTGTGGTTCCTACTTCAGTATTTTTGGCAAGCTGCCAAGGGCAGGATTGAACAACATGACGTAGTTGTACCCCCACGTTCACGTAAATGCAAAATCCAGTGACTAGAGAAATTTAGGCGAAGACCATGAAGATCATTTTTTCCTTTTTCTGAAATATTTTTTCTTAATTTTTTACTGACACGATGTTGTTTTATAACATAGATGTACATTTACACAAATCACTATCTGTATATACTACATTAATTTCACCACCAAAAGTCTGATTCCAGCCTCCAAAATCTTTTTATCATGATGTCGTATGAGTGAATACCTATGCTTGTCTCCTCTAGGACAATGTAAGGAAACGCCACGTAAATCTCAGCTCTGTGGAGAACAAGCGGACAGCCCTAAGTGAGAAGCTTTCCTCTGGGTCTCCCCCTTGTCTGGCAGGAGGAGACCAAGTGGGAAATCTTTTCTTTCCTTTAAAATGTTTAAAACAGGGCCTCCCCGGTGGCGCAGCTGTTGAGCACTGGGTTGCGAAGTTGCCCACGGCCTCTGAGGCGCTGGTTCGATCCCCGGCTGCTCCCCGGCCACCGGAGGAGGGTCCCACATGGCGGCAGACCTCTCTGCTGCCCGCTGCTCCCCTCAGCAGTGTACTTCGGTCCTTCTGCCTGCTCTGCTCCCCGCTCTGGCTCTGGTGAATTCTCTCACCCTCCCGCGCTTCTAACTGTACCCAGTGCTTGCATAAATAAATAAATAAATAAATACATAAATAAATACATAAATAAATAAATAAATCTTTAAAAAAAAGATAAAGAAAATTTTGAAATAAAAATAAAAATAAAATAAAATGTTTAAAACAGTGTTGAATGATTTTCTGTTACCAGATAGCTGAGGAATTGATTTCTTGTGACTGGAATGGTTCTGCGGATCTCTGATGACCCTGGATTTTTTTTCTTTTCCCTCCCTCAGATCAGCCGGCAGACATGATGAGCACCAAGGCTTTTACACTGGTCTCTGCTGTGGAGCGGGAGCTGCTGATGGGCGACAAGGAGCGTGTTAACATAGAATGCGTGGAGTGCTGCGGCAAGCACCTGTACGTGGGCACCAATGACTGTTTCATCTACCACTTCCTGCTGGAGGAGAAAACTCTGCCCTCTGGGACAGCCTCCTTCACTGCCACTAAGCAGCTGCACAGACACCTGGGTTTCAAGAAGCCAGTGAATGAGCTGCGGGCGGCGTCAGCCCTCAACAGGCTGCTGGTGCTGTGTGACAACTGCATAACACTGGTCAACATGATGAGCCTGGAGCCCGTGCCCTCGGGGGCCCGCATCAAGGGGGCCGTGGCTTTCGCCTTGAACGAGAACCCTGTGAGCGGCGACCCGTTTTGTGTGGAAGTCTGCATCATCTCTGTCAAACGCAGAACCATCCAGGTGTTCTTGGTGTATGAGGACCGAGTTCAGATCGTCAGGGAGGTGTCGACGCCGGAGCAGCCCCTGGCCGTGGCTGTGGACGGCCACTTCTTGTGCCTGGCCCTGACCACCCAGTACATCATACTGAACTACAACACGGGTGTTGCCCAGGACCTGTTTCCTTACTGCAGCGAGGAGAAGCACCCGATTGTCAAGAGGATAGGGAGACAGGAGTTCCTGCTGGCGGGCCCCGGAGGGCTGGGTGAGCAGGATGCATTAGTGTCTCTGCTTCCCACTGCCTTTTCTCTTTGCATCATCTCCTTGAATTTATGCTGAAATCTGAGAGAGAAATTTAGTTGTGAAAATGGAGAGTCGTGAAAAGTATTTGTCAGCACTAACAATAATGTGGGAACATGTAACTGCATAGCCACTGTTTACTAAAATTTCCTGATACTGTCTTGTGAATGTGGGGTTAATGGAATAAAAATAGGCCAGTCTCAAAACTAGTTTTATGTTGTGTGAAAGTAGAACCTGAAGATGGCTCTAAGGAGAAAATTCCTTTAAGTAAATAACTAAAAATATAATTCTCTCTTTTCAATTTCCCCAATGGGTGGGTTTGTTCGTTGCTTACTATTACTATGCATTCTAGAAAGGAGTTGAAGTAGCTCACTTACTGGGTATTTGCAAGTCTAGAGACTTCAGTGCTGTGTCCTTGATTTTTTCTTTTATTGACTGCAATTTCATCCCACCAAAAAGTTTTGGTAGCTAGAGCCTTGAAGGGGGTTTGACCTCTCTGTATGGACTTATGAAATAATCGGCGCTGCCCTATCAAAATTAAGAATCGACGTTGTTAACCTCAGTAATATCTGGGCTGTTTTCTGTGAGTTGTGTATGACTGAGGTTAGAATTAGTACAGGAGTCTTGTGAGAGCTAGGAGTGCTTTAGCCTTAGACAGTTTGGGTGTGGCCATCTCATTTCAAAGTTATGTGTACAAGCACATGTTCTTGTAATCAGAAGTTATTTACTTCTTAGTTTTTACTTAATTTTTTTAAAGAGACTTTTTTTTTTAGATCAGGCTCATAGCAATATTGACTGGAAATTGGAGTTCTTATATTACCATCTGGCCCCCACATATTCACAGTCTCCCACAATGTCAACATCCTGCCCAGAGTGGGCCATTTGTTATAATCCATGAGCCTACATGGACATTCAGAGTCACCCAAAGTCCATAATTTACATTAGGGGGTCACTTTAATTCTATGGGATTGGGAAAATGAATAATAATATGTACTAACCATTACAATAGAATATGGAATATTTTCAATACCCTAAAAATCCTCTGTGCTCCACCTAGTCATGCTCTCAACATCTGGTGGACACTGGTCTTCTGGTGTGATGTGGTTGGAATCATGCAGTATGAAACCTCTTCTCACTGGTCTGTCCACTGTGCAAGGTGCACATAAGCCTTCTTCATGTCTTGTCATGTCTTGATAGCTCAGATTTTTAATTTTTGAAAAAAAAAATTCTTTACTCCAAGTGGGTTTAAAGAGATATGACATGTTTTGGTCCATCTGTTCTGGGTGAGAGTCTATTCAGGCTTACTGCTGAGCCCCTTTTATGTGACCCTTGAACTTTGATAGCCATCTTGCCTTCTGATATAACAAGGTGTTCCAGGTTCACCTCTTGAGTTTCCTGTCTTTGATCTGATTCTAACTGTTTCTCCAAGACCCCCAATGTTAAGAAGCCACAATCTGGGTGCTCAAGATTCTTATGGTTCATCATCTGAAGGCCTCTTCAGTAAACAAAGCTAGGAAGCGTGCTTTTTTTTTTTTTTTTGTATATTTAATTCTTACATCATTTTTCATCTTTGCACAATGCAAGCATTTTCATTTTGGTTATATTCCCCATACAATTGCACCCCCCTCCTTATTTTGACTCTAGTTCTTCCTCTCCCCGCCCCTCCCTCCACCCACCCCCCACCCCCGCCCCATAGTGTGTCTCTGGTTTATAGTTGCTTGTTGATTTCGATTTATTACTTTTTTTTTTAAGATTTATTTATTTATACAAGCACTGGGTACAGTCAGAAGCGCGGGAGGGTGAGAGAATTCACCAGAGCCAGAGCGGGGAACAGAACAGGCAGATTGATGAAGTACACTGCTGAGGGGAGCAGTGGGCGGCAGGAGAGGTCTGCATGTGATGTGGGACCCTCGCCTGTGACTGGGGATCGAACTGGCGCTGCAGAGGCCACAGGCAGCTTCGCAGGCCAGCACTCAACCACTGCGCCACCAGGGAGGCCCTAATTTATTACTTTGTATTGATTAGTCTTTTTCCTGGTCTCTTATTTAGGTTTTCTAAATTCCAGCTATGAGTGAGACCATCCGGTATTTTTCTTTTTCTTTCTGACTTATTTCTCTGAGCATGATCCCTTCCAGTTCCATCCATGTTGCTGCAAATTGTATGAGTTTATCTTTTTTGATTGCTGAGTAATATTCCATTGTGTGTATATACCACATCTTTTTGATCCAGTCATCTATTTTTGGGCATTTGAGTTGTTTCCATAGCTTATCTATTGTAAATAGTGCTGCTATAAACATAGGCATGCAGGTGCCCTTTGGAATTACTGTTTCTGTGTCATTTGGGTAAATACCTAGGAGTGGAATTGCTGAATCATATGGAAGCTCTATGTTTAGTAGGTCCAGAAATCTCCACACAGCTCTCCATAGTGGTGGTACCAGTTCGCACTCCCACCAGCAGTGCAGGAGAGGAAGTGTGCATTTTTTAAAGATGAAATTCATTATGAGATCACATTGATAGAACCAATTCAAAATCCGGGCTGCAGGCCATTGATCTCATCTGTTTATAAACCCAGATCTCCCTTTGATCACACCAAAAATCTTAGTAAATGACTACCCCAGCATGATAATTCTATTGATTTGTCTCACATTACACAGAACAGAATAATAAAGTCAGCACTGCTATTCCCACAATATAGTTACTGAGAGAACGTTGATTATACTTCTTTGACCTTAGACTATATGTAACCTATTAGGAACTTACAGTCACATTACTATTTTAAATAAATCACTCTGTGTGGTTATACCAGCAACTGTATGTACAGTTAGGTGGATTTGCTTAAATTTACTTTAGAATTTTAGAAATTGCTTTATTTTTTCATTATATAAATATTTGCAAGTTTCCATGTCAGGCCAGTAATGCAAGGCAGACTCAAAGAACTTACAGCCTATCCCCTAGAGAGTTCTCTCTATCCCCCATGGATAACCTTCATTTCTATGACTTATCCTTTTATTTTTAAATTAAAAATATAAACAAATACGTAAATATTTGTATCTCCCTTTTTCTTAGCTTTTTACTTAGCACAAGATACTGTGGAGATCACCTCACAGCATAAGATAGGGATAGTTATCATTTGTTTTTATATCTGTGGGCTACTTGGTCTTGTGGGGGTACTATAATTTATTCAATTAGACCCCCCATTGGTGGGCATTTGGATTTTTCCAGTCTTATGATATTTATAGGGACTTATCTTTCACTCTATGGGCAACTTTCTAGAAGTGGGATGTCTATGAATTTTGCTAGATATTGCCTATTCTCCTTGACAGAGGTTGTACTATTTTATATTCTCCCCAGTAAATATTTCCCTTCACATTGCCAACAGGCTAGATACAGTATGTTGTCAGAGTTCATTATAGTAAAGAAATGGATTTAATTTGATCTTTTTCTATATGGCTGGCTGACCGTTATCCCAACAAACTGATTAGAAAGAGTCCATTTTTTCCTCACGGGTTAGTGTCTGCTTTCAATGTACACTAAATTTCCTCATGCCATTGGGTCTATTGCTGGATGTGCTGTTTTGTTCCATTAGTCTGTTTGCCTATTCATGTGTAACCATTTATGTAAAGGAGTATAATTTTGTTAGTTTTAATATTATGATTGAAGGAAAGTGACAGGCAGTCATATTTAGGATGCATTTTCTCCAGGCTTACTAGGTTTCAACTCCATGGACAGCATGCAAAATGAACCAACCTTCTTAATTGTTCTCCTTGTAAGAAGTACAATTTTAAGCAAATTGGAAGATCATCTATCAGCCTCTTATACATCATCTATACACAGATTCTCTGAACAACATAGTAATATTACACCACCATCATTGTATGATCTCAGAAATTAAGTTCAGATTGCTAGAATGAAAACAAATTTCCCATGAAACTTGAAAGCTATGTATTTTCATCTTACTGTCTCCTTGAGGATTACCTGTGTCCATTTCTATGTCATGAGAAATGATGCTTACCTTTCTACCTAGTTCAAATTTTACTATTTTAAAGAATTCTTGATTGAAAACTTCATAGTACAATTGAGCATTATAACTTTATTTCTACCCCTTGATAATGCGTCTTGAAGAATGCAAATAATTCAGCTACTCCTCACTTCACACAGCACCTTCTCCCAACTCAAATAAGAGGGTTGATGGTATTTTAGAGGATGTACAATGAATTTAGTGGTGGCTGAAGGTGTACCATTTACATATTTGTTGCATTTGCATATTAACAGCACTTACACTCCTTCAGCGGTATAGCAGGTTCTTGAGTGATGTTTCATTCATTGCTGTTTTGTTAAAATGTTGATCAGAAAAAAAGATTGCTTCTGGCAGGGCCACTGTCAATGTGGAGTTTGCATGGCCTCCCCAGGTCTGCCTGGGTTTTCTCCGGGTGCTCTTATTTTCCTCCCATATCCCAAAGATGTGCATGATCAGTAACAGGCCTCACAGTCATCCCAGTCAGAGTAGATATGAGTGTGGGTGAGTGTGCCCTGTGATGGAAGAGCATCCCACCCACCATAGGGTCCTGCCTTGTGCCCTGAGCTTCTGAGTTGTCCTCTGACCACCAGAGCTCCTGAACTAAAATAAGCCAGTTGCAGAATGAAAGAACAAATGAATACAAATGATTTTTTAACTTTACAAGTGTTTTGAGTCTGTTAGAAGTTTGGTGATGTTTTTGTACTGTAGGAACTTAACTTTTGCTTATATCAAGTTGGTTTTGTTGTGCACTGTTTCACTTATAGTTTCCAAGAACCTATGGATTTCTTAAGTGAGGATATACTATAATAGAAACAATAGAGTGGTGGATAATAGGGTGTGGATAACAGTTCTCTGTGTTCCAAGTGTATCCTACAGCACTTTATACAACTTCACCTGGGCCCCCCAATTGCCAGATAGTACTCTGCTCTTTTGTCCTAGTGAAATCTGCTTTTCTTTCTCTGTAGCATGTCTATTCTTGATCTCTGGGCTCCATACTTTTTATTTCAAGAACATTCACGTCGGCACCCCTACATTCACAGTTCTTGGGTCTAACTGTGCACAAATGTGGTGACCCTGGTTTATTTAATTCCAGGATAAGGCTACTTTCCCATGAGAGTTGTGCCATATGTGGCTATTTGACCAGAAATTCAGAGGAATCCTCAGGATTGTTCCATGCCTGTCCCTTTATGAGTGTATATTTTGCCAAACACCTGGGTAAGGAGGGCCACACAGTGCATGATGCCCCTGATTTGTTTTTCTTTTCTTTTTAGACTCTTTTTAGCTTGCTGGTTCCAAACGCATGAAAAATTAAAGGTAGTGCTAGCTTAATTTCCTCCTGCAAAGCTCAGTCTTAATTTCAGATTCTTAATGCTTCCCATAGCTCTGTATTTGTTTGTCTCCTTTAGCATCTTTAATGCAGGTGGAAACATAGGTGTTAACAATTGTTGGGTTAATTCAGACTTCAATTGCGTCCTCTCTGCCCAGCCTCCCTTCAGTTGTGCACATTGTCCCACCTCAGTATTGTTCAGTCTTATCTCTTAGTGCTGAGGCATCTGGGGTAGTTTTCCACATTTCCATTGAGCTCTTTGGCTTCTTATCTCCTCTGGAAAGGAATTAGAACAAAAGATCTTCTCCAGACCATGGCTGTGTTCTGCAGAAACATTTCCTCTTATGTCATCTTGTATTTGCCTCTGGCTTTCAGGGCACTCCATGGAACAACCCGTTCCCCTCAGGAAGGAACCTTTTATCCTCTGAGAAAGCACTTGAACTGCAGTCTCCCCTGTCCCAAATCCTGTGACTCCCAAGTGTTGCCGAGTGCACGCTGCCTCCTCAGCAACTGGTATCCTGAGCCCTGTTTTGTTTCAGAGTCAGCCCTGTCCTCCTAATCCTGAGGCTAACAGCCCCATGGTGGTAGCCTTTGACTCACCCTTTCTCTTGCTCCACTGAGTCACGTGTCAGTTTCCTTGAGGCACTTCTGTTACTCCTCTTTTGGCTCTCCAGCCCTGTCTTTCCTGATCGTGAGTAGCTGGCTGTCCCCCACCACCACACACAGTGTCTGAGTCCCTCCTTCACCACAGCCTCCACACTGACCCTTCTAAAACATCTGTGATCCTGTGACAGGCTGCTCTCTTCAGCCTGCATGTCCAGGTCCAGTGCTTCTGACTTAACTTTCCAACCTCCTTTATGCAGTATATGGTATTTGCATGCATTCTGGGTTCCAAAGACAACCCCCACTTCTCTGCCTCCCAAGGGACCCTCCTCTTTTTATTGCCAGAGGCCCATCAGTCCTGGTGTCACCTGCTCCTTGCAGGCCACTGTCCCTGATCACTCAGCTCTGTCAGGACTTTACCTACCCATAGGGTTTCCAGAGCCCTGTAGACCTTTCTAAATCCCTGCTTTATATCTCTTGTATTGTGACTCTTTATGTATTTCCCTACACCCCTTCATGTGTCTCTAAGTCTCTCAGTACCAAACTCAGTGTTTGCCATATAATAAATACCTAGTAAATGTTTGTTGAATTTAAGTTGAGGCTAATGCAAATTTATAGTTTTTCTTTTTGTACATACTTGGTTAATACATTAGGTTTGGTTTTTTTCCCCTATTGTTGATATACTCTTTTAGGGCATTATATTTAACACACTGCTATTAAAATTGTGTCATCCTTGTATTTAGCATTTGGACAGTTTGAAAGTAGACTCACTAAATAAAGTGTAAATGTACAGTTTGGATAGATAATAACAAACTATTCTGCCAAAAGTTTTCCTTACACTGTTCTAATACTCAGGACTATAAGTTTACAAACTGGCTAATGTGACAGGTAAAACTTGGTTATTTTTTGTCCTTTAAATTTGTGTTTCTTGGTTACTAGTGAAGATAGAAATCTCTTAACAAATTTGTCAGTTGTTAGCATTTTGTCTTCTATGAATTACTGTTTTGTATCCTTTGTCTATTTTTCTATTGAGTTGTTAGGTTTTTTTTATAATGAATTTGAGAGATTTTAAATAATTTTCACTTACTATGAAAGTCTGGTTCAAAATAGGCAACTGTGACTCCTTTAGGGGAGTCACACACACTCTTACACACTGACACTCATTGTTTTGTCATTGTGGCACAGTTTCAGTTTGGTGCCATTTCAATGCCAAGATGCAGTATTTAAAATGCTAAGCAGGGACAAAAAAGTACTGTTAGTGTCATTCTGCAGGGAGGGCCTCTGAGTGTCAGGCAAGAGCAAAGCAGGTACAGGTGTGACTCCATTCAAGATGCCCATTTTCCCGAACATCTTGATTTATAAGAAGAGAACTACATTTGTGCTTGATAAGTTCTCAGCATTTCAGTCTTTGCAACCACAGAAAATTGAGAAGGATCAATGATTTCACAAGTTTAGCAATTTTGCTCATGTGATATTTTTAGGTACTTTGTTTTAACAGATTTGCGCTATCATTTTCTGTTTTTCTCCTACTTACCCTTTCTCTGTTGTGTGTAGTAGAAACCAGTTGTCTACTGCAGTAGCATCTATTTGCTGTTGACATCATGTTGTTTTTAAAGGTGTTTTATTTACATCAACTACTTTGAAAACTAAGTTAAAGTGGATCGACTTTACTTGGTGAAGGTGTTAATGTGGGTAACCACAGTTTCTGGACTACATACAGCTCATGTGAAAATGACTATGATGTACAAGATGGATAAACTGTCATTTAATATGGAGGTTATTATTGACAAACATTTAGTAATAGTCTGTCTTGAATTGCAAAATTGATTCTATCCCTGTTTTATAGAGTATGTGTTTCCAAAATTAGACTATAACTCTGAGCAGGGACAGTTCCTGATAAGACACCTTATAGAATGCCTGGTACATCATAGATGTTTGATAAATATTTAAATGAATTATATTCAGTATCCATTGAGCAATACTTGTTGAATGAATTTGTAAGGGAAGATTTGAAGCAGTGGATATGGAAAGTGCTTACAAAGCTTAAATTCTTTGAAAGTAACCTTTCCCCACCTGTGAGGACGTGTGCTTTCCTGTCAACATATGTAAACATTTTTTCACCTTATTTTAATTGGAGGTAAATACATATGTTCTCTTCACAACAATAAAATGTACGGTTGTTCACACATCTAGCATATTATCATTCTATTTTTGAAATATAATGATGGTGACTCTGTATTTAGGTCTGCCTACTCGTCACTGGTAAGTCAAATGTAAGAGATATAGGGATTTAGGAAAGCAAAGGTTTATTCAAGGCTGGTACCCTTCAGACAGTAGCCTGTCCAAAGATACCATCTCCCTGATAAAATAAATAAGGTTTTATAGATTTTTGGACCAGGATTGAGAACAAAGGAATTCAATTTTAATGGTTGAAGAGCACGTTAGGGGCAAAGAAATGTGGACTTGGCTGAAGTTCATTGACCCGTCATAGGGCACTTCATAATGGAAATAAGAAGATACTTCAGATAACTGGAGTTTTGAAGATCTTTTTGTGAGGCCCCCCCCCTTCTGGGTTTTCAGTTCCCAGTTGGTCTTGGAGCTCAGCTCAAGGTTGTTGATAAACTTTCAGATTTGCTGAGTGTGTGAAAGCGAGTCTCAGAAAAAGTTGAGATGAGTTTTTTATTTTGTGGTCTTAGCAACTTAACCCTTTATACTTGTTCTCAAAGGAAGAGGGTATCTGCAGTTATCTGAAGGGCCCTCTAACTCTACTATGTTTATTTTATAGGCATGTTTGCCACAGTCGCTGGGATATCTCAACGAGCCCCTGTGCACTGGTCGGAGAATGTGATCGGGGCAGCCATTTGCTTTCCCTATGTCATAGCACTCGATGAGGAGTTCATCACAGTTCACAGCATGCTAGATCAGCAGCAGAAGCAGACCCTGCCCTTTAAGGAAGGCCACATTCTACAGGATTTTGAAGGTACTAGTTTACATAAGAAATCTAAGTCAAATTTAGGTGCCAACTTTTTATTGACAATATTTCTTCAGTAAATGTCATTAAGGGTCCATTAGGAGGCAGGCCTTGTGTTTATCATGGGAGATACACCGATGATGGTAATATAGTCCCCAGACTTCAGGAACTTCAAGATTAATAGGAAGATCGATTTTTAAGAAATAGCTATGGCAGTTTAAGAGTTTGATGGAAAGGAGATAAAGCCATTGGCAGAGTAGAAGAGGGTGGGTTTCGGGAACTATCAGGGAGGGCTTCTTGAAGTAGATGAGCCGAACTTTAAGGATGAGTAGGAGTCAGCCAACCAGTTGCATTCTAAAAGAAACCTTCAGATAGAGAGAAAAGTGCATGAATGTCTGGACTTGGGGCTACACAACAGTTCAGTGTGACCTATTGCAAAGTGTCTGAGGAAGGCCATGTGAGATGAGGCTCCAGCAGACCAGGACACTTAGGGGAGAACTTCCTCTTGTCTGCAGTGGTGAACCAATGGAGGAATTTACTTTACTTCTACTAATTTTTATTATGAACATTTTCCAACATACTGAAAAGTTGAAAGAAAAATAGAGTGAACCACAATATACCATTCACCTAAATTCAACATTTGCTAATATTTTGCTGAATTGTTCAAAAGTAAGTAGACGATTCACATTTTATCTGAAATACACATATTTTAAAAATGAGGACATTTTTCTACATAATTATATGTACTTTTCACACTTTGCACAATAGGCTCTAGTATCCTGTGTGTGTTCAGATTTCCTTGGTTATCCCAACAGTGCCTTATGTTGATTTTTTTCTTCATACCTGGAACTAATCTAGATTTATTCTTTGCATTTGCCTTTTAAGGATTATAGCTCAGCAAACGTCACCTCCTTTTTTTGATGTTAGGGTTATAAACTCAGTAATTCTCACAGTCCCTACATTTAACATGACTCTCTGGTTGGGGGCCCTCGCACCAGAAGAGCACATTTATTCATAACAGTATTACAGTGCTGTGGCCATTGAGTGCTGGGGGCAGGCCCGGGGTCATGAGCACATAGAGGCTGATGACATGACCCACTCATCCTTGCTGGGAACAAGGAGAGGATTCCCCACATAGAGAAGGGACAGAACTTCACCTGAGTATGAGAAAAATTCCTTTGGTTGTGATCTAAGCAACAGATCATCCAGATGAGAGCATGTAGCAGGAAGAGCAGATGGAAGATGTGGTGGCAATCCAGACCCGGAAAGCCCAGGGCTACAGTTAAACTAGGCAGTGCGGCTGGGGTGGGAGCTCCACTGGGCTAGAGTGGAAAGGTTTGGCTGCCTTTCATTTTCCCTCAAGCAGAAAGAAAAGATCTTTCCGTCACTTCCTGTAGTAGCTTAGAAAGTGTCTCCAGGGCTTCACTGGTGGCGCAAGGGGTTAAGCACCACATTGTGAAGCAATCCGCAATCTCTGTAGCACGAGTTCAGTCCCCAGCCAGCCAGGGAGAAATCCACATGGCGCAGCAGACCTCTCCTGCCTCTCCCGCTGCTCCCCCCAGCAGTGTATTTCAGTCAGTATGCCTGTTCTGCTCCCCTCTCTGCCTCTGGTGGATCCCCTCACCCACCCACCCCTGCATCTCTGGCGTACCCCAGCTCTTGTATGCATAAATAAATAAATCTTTAAAAAAAAAAAAAAAGTGTCTTCAAAAAGGAGCTCAATTCCAAAGCTTCACAGTAGGAGCGCCTCTTGCATTGAAGTTCTGACTCTTTGGTGGGCTCCCTGTACAAGATCTCCCAAGTAAAATGAGGCAGGTAGGATGATAGCTACATTAACTCACAGGATTGTGGGGAGATTAGTTAAGGCCACACCAAGACAGTGTACTTGGAGGTAGGTGAATATGAAATACTATCTTGTGGTTCCAAATATTACATTATAATCTTAATTTTCTGTAAACTAATTAACATGGAGAGAAAAAAAATGTCTTATATAAGGTATATCAATTCTTATTGATAATATTATATAAGTGACCTCTACAACCTCATTGGACCATATATTATGTATTTATGAAGTGGATTTTAAATTATTAGCACTTTCAAGTTAAAAAAGGTAAAAAAGCAAATTTTATACTTTGGAAATATATTAAGCTATATAATACTAATATTAACTGACCTTTTCTGATGGTTGGCAATATAGGAAGAAGAAAAGGGAAGCATAATCATTTATAATTTCTCTAGGAATTCTGTGTTGGGAAAACTATGATGAGATTGATCAACAGATCAGATAATGATCCTGTTTGGGGGAAGCAATATGCTTTCTTGCAGGCATTATGTTTTTTCCCTTTTCCAACAATATTGAATTTCTTCCCAGGAAGAGTGATTGTCGCCACAAGTAAAGGAGTTTACATCTTGGTTCCATTACCTCTGGAAAAACAAATACAGGATCTTCTAGCAAGCCGTAGAGTGGAAGAGGCTTTGGTTTTAGCAAAAGGAGCCCGGAGGAACATTCCAAAAGAAAAATTTCAGGTTTGTAATTAGCTAGTCACAAGAAAACAGGCCCCTAAGCCCCAGCTAGAAAACATTTGGATTTAACTAACATACATTGGCCTTCCCTGTGCAGTAGGCCTTGCAGATCACTTTAATATCTCTTATTTAGTTTTCCCAACACATCCTCATTGTACAGATGGGGAAACAGGTAGCAGAGCAGTCAAACAGCAGTTGGACTGAGGTTACAACTGCTAACAAAGTCAGATTTGAGCCTCTAACTTATTTCTCATACTTCATATTATCAAGTTATATTTCTAATCAACTTTCTTCTTTGGTGGACCTTCAGAGAAGAATCAGGGTGTATAGTTCTTATAAACCAAAAGTGTGGCATCAGATTAATCTGTCTTCTAATTCACAATTTGTGTTTGCTGGGATGGCGCTGAATTTAGAAAGTTTAGACTCATACTATTTACAGGAAAAGCTTTGCTAACCATACCAATAACTACCTAATATTACATGAATCCATCTAAATTTCCTCAGGAGAAAATTTTTTGATCCATCTATGAAGCACAAACTTTAATGTATAATAAATTATATTGATAGGATAATCTCAAATTATTATATCTGATGAAATTAGCATCTCTAAAAATTGCTACTTATATAATCACTTACTGGTTTAGTTCAGGTAACTTTACGTATTTGAAAGTAATAAATCATTATGTGGGGGGTGTTTGACTTCATATGAATATCTAAATCAGTTGTTGAAAGTACTCATGAATTAATAATGATACCCTTGATTGTTACCAGTTGCTCAGATTTTCACCTTGACTGTGTGATTGTGAAATAAAATAATGATTTTTGGCCTTGCTTGCTTTGTGTAGCAGAGAGTGGATTCTGGAAGAAAGGATGTGTAATTGATGGTTATGAGATTTAAAAGAGGGCATCTTTTCTACATTCCAACATGAGTTTATTAACTTTTCCTCTCTCTCTGTTCTTGTTTCTTTTTAAATAAAATTGGTTTTTAGCATTCAGCAGGGGGCAGCAAAAGCAAAAAGAAGACTGCTTCTGGTAGTTCAGGGCCCTTGGCTGTGCGGAGAACACTTACTTCTGCAGTGTTTTCTTTCTACTTACGTGAGGTAGAGGGCTGGAGAATCAGAATGAGTGCAGTCTAAGGTGATATTTAACTTTGACGATGCAGCCTTGAAAGCAGGTTTAGAAATCTTTAGATTAGAATCTTCTGTTTCACAAAATTTCCAGTTCCCCAAATGACAAGTTAGAAATCTCAATTCAGAAATATAATACTAATAACATAGGTTTTGACTTAAGTTTCATCTTGTTCCCAGAACATGGGGGACCTCTTCTGCCTGGCTTGTGTTGGGCCCTCAGCCTTTGTACAGGGAGATACTGAGTGGCCTTATTTAGAAGTCTATTTGCTAATTTACTCTCTTTACCTGAAAATTTGATATAACTGCTTTCTGAAGGACAGACTAGTAAATTCAAAAGACAGCAGAAGATTGTTCTTGAATTAGCTCCAGCTCCATAGAGATATGAGCAGGAAGCAAGAGGAGACGGCAATAATAGAGGACAATCTGGAAAGGTGACCCTTCTAAGGGGCCAAGTATGGACTATGCTTGGTAAAGTCTCTGATCAGCTATTTCTAGTTCGGATTCAGTGTTGTCCTCTAGATCTTCTGTGGTCAACATCCGCCTCATATTTGGGGTGAAGGAATCCTTTGCAAGCTGCTTCCAGGTCTCCATGTATCATCTGCAGACTACAATACAGAAACTAACCCCTCTACTTTTGGAGATGAGAAGCATAAGGAAAAGTTGTTTCATTTCCCTTTAGCAAGGGCAGGAATAGATGATATTTGAATCCTGCAGCCACGAAGAACAAATTGCCATTTGGCTGATTTCTCAGCAACAAGTCTGAGTGTGATTCTTCTTCACAGTGGATGGATCCTTTTTATTGTCTTTTTTTTTTTTTAATACAATCACTGGGTACAGTCAGAAGCGTGGGAGGGTGAGAATTCACCAGAGCCAGAGTGGAGAGGAGAACAGGCAGATTGACGAAGTACACTGCTGAGGGGAGCAGCGGACAGCAGGAGAGGTCTGCGGTCTCTTTGGGACGCTTGCCCAGCAGCCAGGGATCGAACTGGCGCTGCAGAGGCTGTGTGCAACTTCGCAACCCAGCGCTCATCCTCTGCACCACCAGGGAGGCCCTCCTTTTTATTGTCTTTACAAAAGAGACAATCTTAATTTTTTCTACATTTGGAAACGTAACTGGCACACAACAGAACTTTGATCCACTTCCTTTTGTTTATTGTCAGGTAGTAAAATAAAATTTTGAGTTGGAAATGGCTGGCACCAGAGTAGAAACAGAAAGGCAGCTATGAGACCTTATGGACACCTGCCTTTTCTGACATGACTGAGGAACTTCTATGGGGACGGAGGGGACTGTTATTATGCTTTTGAAACTCTATCATAAAAGCCCCTTTGATAGCTAATTTGAGAGACTAATTGATGACTTTTAGGTGCCAACTATCTCCCCCTAGAATTCGCCATTTATTCAGTGTCCAGCAGCACTGGCTTGCCTACTCTGTCCCTGGATGAACCACCTGAATGGAAAGAATTGGATTCCAGAATCAGAAATACCTGGTTTAGCTCAGTCATCTGATTATCTGATAACTCTGGCCAGATAGTTCTTCAGATTAGTAAGCATCTATTAAGAGGCAAATAACATGCTTGCAATAAAAGGGTATGGAGAGACTAAGATGAATAATGTGTGTGCCATGCCTTCAGGGAACTTAGGGTTTTATAAACAGTATGATGGATTGGAAGGAGGAGGAATTAAGAAGCTGTGGAGTCTTAATTGTGTGTTGATGAGGGCCTGGGCCATGTTGATGGGATCAGTAAGAACAGAGTGAAGCGTTACATCCAAATACTATTTCAGACCAAGGATGGGTGAGACGTGAATATTGACCAAGCTAGACAGTGAGACAGGGAAGGGGTGGAATTACAGAAACTGCCAGACAATTTCCAAAAGTGTGTTTTGCTATTGCCGGGTGCTGTCAGAACCAAGGGGTTCTGTGGTCAAGGGAATTTGGGTCGTAATGCCTTAAAGAAAGATAAACTTGCACCTTTATTCAGGGAGTTCTTATTATCAGGGTGGGTTTGTGCAGCACCAGGGGGAAAGAGAATGCAGAGTGTTTCCTCAACTCTGGCTGGGAAACCCTGTCTGTCTATTTATTAAATGTTGGCTTTGTGCTCTGAGAGATTCTCAGAAATGCTGCTATGAGGTGTCAATTCCAGAACAGTGACAGAAGGATTAGCGGCTTCTAGACCGCCAGGAGCTCTGGAGTTGTTCATTTCTATCTGAGCAATCAGAAGTGGAAGCAATCATTGAAGCCCTTCAAGTTAATGAGGAGAATAGAAGATAAAAGAATGCATTTGGGAAAGATTGGGGTTTTATTGGGGGGGGAATCCCATGAAGATGAGGGAAGAATTAAATAGTGAACAACTTTATTTCAAGAATGGGGGTGGCTGATTGTGTGTGTGTGTGATCTCATGTATGTCTTGTTTGTTCTTTACCTTGTAATTCCACATTTCTTTGTGTAGTTTGGGTCATAATTCTGTTTCACTCTCCTATGATGGTTTTGAAGACCTAAGAGATTTGTCTTTCCTTGCAGGTAATGTACAGAAGGATCCTACAGCAGGCTGGGTTTATACAGTTTGCACAACTTCAGTTCCTGGAAGCTAAAGAGCTCTTCAGGTAATTTGAGGTGTTGGTAGCAAGACTTCCAAGTGCCCCTCTGTGGTGAAAACCTCCCTCTCAACTGTGATACTGTGATGGGCAGTATGGCACTGGGTAGACAGGGCTCTAGGAAGAGAGACAAGGCTTGTTTCTAACAGCAAACACCATCAATGCTCATTCTTTCCTTTCACTGTGCCTGTGTAACAGTCCTGTGAAGAGAGGTTAAGGCATCAAGACCATTGAGACCAGAGAAGGGAATACTCAACAGTGGACTGATAACGTGTGAAGGAGTCCTAGGAAAATACTATCAGAGATTTTGCAGAAAGCTCTGAGTTCACAGAAAAAGCAGATGCTTCTGGGAAGAGTTAAGAAAACTATTGTTCTTCTAAAGACTTTTTCTTTCTTCTAAAGACTTTTCTTAAATCGCACATTTCCAGGTAGTTCTCTGAGAGAGTTTTTCAGAGGTCCCTCTGGTATTAAGAGGAATCCTGTGCCCTATGTCCTGGTTCTCCCTCCCTGGCCCCACCTGCCTCGTGCATACTGTTGCTGTCACACTGCTTTTCTCCCAGACTGTTGTGCTTGGCAAAATGAAATTGTTCACACGCTTGCTCAGCACTCCCTGCAGAAGTGAGTTGAACCTGCTCTGATAGTCTTTCAGGATCCTGCTAAAGCACTGCCAGCAGAATGAGTTTTCAAAATGCCTAACTCAAATAGATTCTGCACAGTTTAGAGCCGTGAAAGATAAGATGTATACAAAGACTCCAAATAGATCCTTTCCATTCTTGTAACAGAGGAGACTGCCTCTCTGCAGCAGGCTCTCCAGTGCTGTTATCCGGGTGTTTTATTAAAGCCACCACAGCTCTGATCTCTTGCTCTGCCATAAAATTGGTGGTGACATATAGATTTGTGTATAAAGGAGTCATTTATTGAGTAATGATGCCCAATATAACTTCTACTTAGGAATTTCTGTGCTGTGCTCATCTGTTCCTGGAACAATCCATAGCTTTGGAGCTGAAATGGTTCTTTGCCCCTTTGAACGTAGGTGTTTTTCATCCTGTCTGGTGTCATTCCTGCAGTGTCAAGACCTCCCCACTCAGGTCATGGCTATTTCCCATTACATCTTCTTTTTCTTATGGGTTGATTTGAAACACTAGGTCAGTGACTAAGGATGCATTCCTAGTAAAGTTCACTGTTTGTGTAAGAGAATAAACAGAGATCCTGTCAATCTTTTATAAAGTGTCCCTCTACTTTGTGAGTCAGCCTCTTAATAGCTTAACCTTAAATTGACTGCTGCTCAGCTTTGGGAAATTTGAAATTTGAAGATGCTCCAAAGACAAGAATGGTTGTACTTTCCTTCATGTGCAATAGCAAATGCTGCTAATAACTCATTTTTCTTTTCCTCATTGATCTGGGATTTGTCCTCAGATTCCTTCTCAGTTCAGTGTGAAAACCACAACTGCCAATTAATCATCATTGACACCTAAGAGAGGCCCGCTGTACGATTCATATCCCAGAGTCATATGCCCTATCTCTTCCCGTCGATGTCATGCAGCCTGTCTGTTTCCAGCCAGGCTGGGCACCCCTTTCCTTTGGCAATCTTGACCTGAGTATTAGGGTGAGGATGGAAGAATAAGAGTGTGTTCCTGTTTTTGTGGTGTGTCTGTACTAATTTGCAAAAGGGTGTGCAGTATAAGTGATATGGTGGGAGTACACCAGAGCAGGAACTAGATCGGGGTTTGTCTTGGATCTTAAATGACAGAAGTTTCCCAAACTGAGAATCATGCTTTAGACCAGAGATGCTCAGTGTAGCATTGACATTCTTGGCTGGATAGTTCCTGTTGTAGGGGCAGTCTTGTGCACTGTAGAATGTATGGCATCAGCCCTGGCCTTCACCCACAGGATGCCATTAGCACCCTCCAGTCATGACAAAAATATCTTCAGACGTTGCCAAATGTTCCTATTAAGAACCACTCCTATAGGCAAAGGAACAGTGGCAACAAAGGCTAAGAGGCACAAAATTATATAAATGGACAACATAAGGAGGTAGAAAGTATAGAAAAGATGGTTGAAATTGAAGTTATAAGGCAATTTGGGATCAGTTTAGGAAGGGTCTTGAATGCCAAGTAAGAGGTCTGAAATTTATGCTGAGGGTAGTGCAGGATCATTGAAGATCAGGACAAGGTGAGGGTGCGAAGAGTGAAGTGCATGGAGATTAGAGGCAGGAAGCCAGGGGAGCAGAGGAGCGGCATCTGCGTGAGAGAGGTGGATGCAGTAAACCCTGAAGGAAGTGTAGATACTGATCCTGAGGAGAGATTCTGATCTGTGTGTCTAAAGGGAGCTTCTGTTTCCTCAAGAGGTTTCCCAGAGGTGGGAACCCTGGGCCAGGGTTGAGATCCACAATTTAATAATGTGAACTGTTCCCATTGTAGACACGATGAGCAGGCTGCACGGGGAAGAGGCAGGACAGGGACCAGCACATTAGAGAGAGGACATCCCTAAATCTGGCTTCCTGAGCCTCATGAGGCTGGGACACTACACTAGCTGAGTTGAGTTACACCTTAATGTTGTGCTCTGAATCGCTATCAAGTCATCACAGAAATGGCTGCTTGATGCCTTCATGTCTTCAGTTGCAAGATCATTAATGGGGAAATGGTAAGCTACATTCTTGTAGGGACCATTCAATCTGTTGACAATGTAGGGCCAGAAAAGTGCTGGTTTCAGAAGGACATCATCTGCCTTTGGTGAGTCCTGTGTTTCCTTTGTCTTCCTTTCTTTGCCTCGGTTTCCAGGGAGTTCAGTGCTGCCTTGTGGTGCAGATCATCTTAGGTGTTTTCATATTTCTCCTTGACGCTGTGTGCGAGCTTCACTGTGGTCCCAACTGTTCTTTCTTGGAATTGGCTGGTGGTGTCTTAGTGCTTTACCAGGCTTGCAAATTAGGATGGTCACTCTGACATGCTCACCCAGAGGACCAGCTCCCAGTTAGTGTGTGCACATGTGCTCAGCCCTCCAGTGTTGTTTTGTGTGCCTATGTGTACTCTTTCTCTCTTTTTGCTTCATTTAGTTTGACACTGTAATTGCAGAAGCGGCCAGCTTGACGTCCGGGAGCTGATCTCTCTCTACCCCTTCCTGTTGCCCACCTCCTCTTCATTCACACGGTCTCATCCTCCTCTCCACGAGTATGCAGACCTGAACCAGCTGACCCAAGGGGACCAGGAGAAGATGGCCAAGTGTAAGCGTTTCCTCATGAGCTACTTGAATGAAGTCCGCAGCACGGAGGTGGCAAATGGCTACAAAGAAGACATTGACACAGCCTTGCTCAAGCTGTACGCGGAGGCTGACCACGACAGCCTACTGGACCTGCTGGTCACAGAGAACTTCTGTCTTCTAACAGACAGTGCTGCCTGGCTGGAGAAGCACAAAAAGTGAGTGTTCTCTTCTGGGATGCAACCAGGGGCTTCAGGCCCGGCCCTTCCCCAACACCCAGTGAGGAGACAGTTGTGAAGCTGATGTGACCACTGTGGTGTTTTGAATTCCCAAGAGACTCAAGTGACTACCTTGAAATCATAGTGCCGGCCCCTCAGGTTAGAGCACTTGTCATAGTCTGAAGACCATGGCAGGGGTCTTGGGGAGTATTGACTCTCATACCAATTCTTTAATGACAGAGATGACAGTTTGAAGCTATCACAGGCCTTGATAGTGAATGAAGTGTTTCTTATATATCCTCTGAATTCCATCTAGAATGTTCCTTGTAAGATACCACTGGTATGTTGGTAAAATTATCATGGAAATGGATAGAGAGTTCAGAAGGGAGGCTTTTGGTCTTGTTGAGAAAAGATTATGGCTTGAGATGGATTCATTATATGTGTGAGCTGGTGGGGAGTGCCCTGTGCTCAGGGGTAATCCATAAAGGCCAACCTGATACAAATAAGAGCAGCAGCATCTTCATCCTGAACAGGTGGTCAGGTTTTCTAAACCATATGGTCCTTGAGAATTTTGGTTTTTTGTTTTTTAAGTGACAGGAGTTGGCTGATCCCTAAACTCCATTAGGCAGTAAGATTCTTTGTCTGTAGTTTTTGTTATATATTTGAAATGGCTAATGTACTGAGGAAATCCCACAGAGACCGTGGGGGTGATGATGCTAGTTCCCTGTCAGGTGCTGAGACCATGCAGTCTTGGGATTGATCACCAAATGGGTGTTGACTCTTTACAAAGTTTCCTGTCATTTCTAGAATACACTATGAACGAGTAATTTTGTTTAGAAGCCAGAAAATGCAGAGGCCTCATTGGGATGGTAGATCTGGAGAGTCACAGTGTACCTTTTTGAAAGGTTAAGGGAGAGAGAGGGATTCCAATAAATCTTAGCGTTTGTTCTTTGAGGGAAGAAATTTGAACCCTCCACTGGTCAGCTTGTTGCAGTCACTGCCTTGGGAGGAGGACCTGCCTCACTCACCTGCAGAACTTGCCTGCTGAGTGGGAATGACTCACTGCCCAGGCAATGCCCATGATTTTTGCTAATCCTTTCTTCCTATGAGTGAGGAAATGGAGGGCCAAAGAAGCTGATCTACTTGTTCACAGTTCTACAGTCCATACATAGTGAAACTCAGGACCTTGAACTCTGGGTGTCCTACCCAGGACTCTCACTGACTGCTGTCCTCTGTGATGCCTGGATACTGTTGGCCTTCAGTGCTGTTTGTGTTCAGTGCTGTTCTTCTTTCAGTAGTTGCTCAGACAGCATTCCTTCTGACTATTCCATTAATAGCTCATCATGGCTTAATAATGATGACTAACTGAAGAGATAAGAAATTAATATTTGTAGCAAATTGTAAAGCAATTCCAAAAGTGATTTTCCCTAGTATAATTATAGTTGTATTTTCAGCTTATCTTTGACTTCAATATGATCCATTTTTTGAAACTGACAGGACATACATTTTAACACCATAAATATAATGGGGAGGGTAGGTCCAGGGGAGGTCACTATGGGGGTGCCACCCACAGTAGATGGTGGGAGAGGGTACACTTACCACGCTGTTTTCTTTCAGGTATTTTGCACTTGGGCTGCTCTATCATTATAATAACCAAGACGCTGCGGCAGTTCAGGTTAGTTCTAAAGCGTTTTAGAATTATTTAAAAATCAGCACCATGTAGCTTAGTATTACTTGAAAATAAATCACAAATCAATAGAGACCACTTTGGCCTAATCTACACCTTGGTTACAGAACACATTTAATACTGGTTTAGAGAGAGAATTCCTTCAGTATTGTTAACCAACAGTTTTCTTTACCTTTACCTCTTTCTAAAGAACATTATCAAAATTGAGTTTTTGAAAGTTTAAGAAATAAAAACATTTCTTGCTGAGCCACAGGGCATATGCCATCACTGCATTATCCAAAAATCAAGGCTGTGAATATAACAATTTGTAAGTCTTGCCAATGAGCTAGGTAAATTATTATCCCTATGTCAACTGTGATATAAACAAAGCTAATCAGGGCCACTTGCTTGTCTGGGGTCATGCTCTTGGTCGGGGTGGGCTTCGACGTAGGGCCTGGCAGGGGTGCAGGGCCTGCATTGACAGTGGCACAGAGTTTTAGCTGCTCTCTGGTCTTGCGTCTTCATCTTATGACTGAGCTCATCTCACACTCCCAGGAAATTTTGTCCCCTTCTGCTCCTGTTATCCACTGGTTTTGCTTGTGTCATAGTTTTCTGTGCTTTTTTTGTGTTTTGTGAGGCCAGGGACATCAGCAGTCCTCACAGTCAACTCTGTGACTTTGGCAAAGCCACACATGGCATTTTGTTGTTTCAAGAAACTGTTATGGTAACAGGGTTGCAAGAGAGAGTTAAAAACAAAACTGAGTTCCCATCAACATGTACCCAATAACTAGGAGGAGATAATATTTTATTTTTTAAAGCACGGTGTTCAAAGAATTATACCTTGATGTGGGTGTATTACAACACTAGGGGAGCTGTAGAGAGAGAAAGATTACCAAAATTGAAATATGGAATAAATCTCTATATGGCAAGTTGCACTAATTAAATGACACATTTCAGTGTGTGATCAGGTTCTGACTTCTTGGAGAAGTCAGTGTTGAGATAACTAGTTCCATAAAAAGCATTCGTATGCTGATATGGGAGTGGAGTTTATGCTGCCTGCCGTGTTACTTGGACCTCCTGCTGGCAGCGTGCTTCAGGAGGGCAGAGCACTGGATAGGTGGGTGAGGGTCACCCACAGGTGATGCCCAGCAGGCTTCAGGCAGTCTCTATCTCTTCTACCCCAAACCGGGTGGCTTCCCTTTACACAGCAGGGAGGTTTCTGGATGAAATAGCAAAGGACTTTTATTATTAGAGTCTGTCATGAGCCCCTGTGCATAACACACAACAGTAGGGGACAGAATCACCAAAGATTTTGAAAGCGTAGTATCTGATTTCAGAATCAAGAATCCTTGTGATGGAGAAGATGGAAACAGCCTAGCTGATGGATGCTGGTGAATTTCTTCTGTGATCATTTTGCTTAGTTCTTGAAAAAACATTTTTAGTACGCCTATCTCTTCCCATATATTATATTACTATTTGTATTACTGTGATATCATTAAAAAGGAAAGAAAAAGAACTTGGTGCTTTATTTTTTTGATTTCCTGGACCATGTTGTCTACATTTCTTTATTTTCTCTGAAAGAATTAGAATTGATGCAATCATTTAATAGTTTTCCTACTACTTTTAAGTACAGCCATCCCTCATTATTCATAGGTGATTGGTTTCAGAACCTTCACAGATACCAAAATCTTTAATGCTCAAGTCCTTTCTATACAATGGAGTAGTAGTTGCATATCACCCACACGCAATCCTCCCGTGTACTTTAAATCATCTCTAGATTACTTATAATACCTAGGGCAGTTTAAAGGCTACATAAAAAGTTGTGAGGCTGTATTGTCTAGGGACTATGGCAAGAGAATAAAGGTCTGTACATGCTGTGCAGACGAAAGCATCACATGCATCATAGGCCTGACTACAAGTTCACATTTCCCATCCGTGGCTGGTCGAATCCTCAGATGGAGAACCTGAGGTTATGGGGGGTGGAGGGGGGTGGTTTGATTTATGAAAAGGATTAGTAAATAAATGCTTTCTCTAAGCTAATTCTAAAAAGTATATAACCTTCCGTTTTTTATTCTTGCTCCTTTTCAGTTGTGGGTGAACATTGTGAATGGGGATGTTCACGATCCCACTCGCTCAGACCTGTACGAATATGTTGTCGATTTCCTTACCTACAGCTTAGACCAAGAACTAGTGTGGAAGTATGCTGATTGGGTCCTGCAGAAAAGTGAGGAGGTTTGTACTTTTTTTTTTTTTTTTAAAGATTTGTTTATTTATGCATACAAGAGCTGGGGTACAGGCCAGAGATGCGGGGGTGAGAGGATTCACCAGAGACAGAGTGGGGAACAGAAACAGGAGACTGACTGAAACACACTGCTAAGGGTAGCAGCTGGCGAGACAGGGAAGGTCTGCTGCGCCATGTGGGTTTCTCTCTGGCCGGCTGGGAATCAAACTCATGCTGCAGAGGCTGCGGATTGCTCATAGTATGGTGCTTAACCCCTTGAGCCACCAGGGAGGCCTGGTTTGTACTTTCTAAATGCATTCTTTCTGGGAGGGTCTAGGAGGGGAGGGTAAAAGCAGAGTACTTGATTTTAGGTGGGAAGAACAAGCTGGGCTTCAACCACTTTCTCTGTTCCCCTTTTAACACCTTCCCTGAGAGCTACCCCAGTCCCAGCTCTTAGCGAAGTTCTATATTTCAGTGCTCCCGAGACAAACTGTCTAGCATTCTTTGTCTGGGGCAAACCACTTTTGTGGAAAAAACAAAAGGCACTAGTCAGGGCACATTCTTAACATCATCTTAAAAACCTGTTTGGCAAATTCCCACCCTTAACCACCTTGGGCAATTTTATGTTCTGTGAGCTGCCCCAGGCTCAGATAGCTCTGCAGGACTTGCTGCCTGCAAACGGGCTGCACCAGTCAACTCATTGCACCCTTGTCTGTGCTCCCACCACCCCAAACTCATTTAATCTCTGATCCTTTTGAAAGAAAAGTCACTTGGATGTGGGAGGTGGGTTTTGCCTTTAGCCGTCTTTGCTTCATGCTCTCTGGTCTCTGTGACCTCTTCATGCCGTGTTGTTTTTCTGTATCACTGTGTTTTTGACAATGATTTTTGCCCAAAGTATGAATGTGCAGTGCTAAGAAAAAGGTAAGATGGTGGCTTTGAAAAGCATAATAATGAAATTGCCACTCTTCTTTCAGGTTGGAGTGAAAGTTTTCACCAAGAGACCTTTGGATGAACAGAAGAATAGTTTTAATCCCAACGATATTATCACTTGCCTTAAGAAATACCCCAAAGCACTTGTTAAATATCTGGAATATCTAGTTGTTGACCGGAGACTGCAGGTGAGCACTTAGACTAAAGTGTGTGGGCTGCCGTGTCACAGTAGTAACTGTATATGTGGAACTGAACTATAAAATTGGCAGGCAGCCAGTGCTAATGTAAGTCTTTATGCTCCCCGGGTGCTCAGTCTGGACTTGATGATCTGATGGGGAATGGATGTTTCTGGAAGAAAGTGGAGGATTAAGCTCATTGTTTTATGCCCCCTCACTCTACCACCTCATGTTTGCTCAGCTTATATTTCTCTTTTCCTTCTTTGTTATTATCCTTAAAGGAAATGAGATAAGCTATACCTTTTTAGAGATAACTAAATTTTGTAGCTTTTCCTTCTTAAAATGTGAAGCAACCTGGGATCTCCCGGGTGGTGCAAGGGGTTAAGACGCAACTTATGAAGCTGTGCGCATCCATGAGTTTGATTTCCCCAGCCAGCCAGGGAGGTGACCCACATGGTGCAGCAGACCTCTCCTGCTCGCCCGCTGCTCCCCTCAGCAGTGTATTTCAGTCAGTGTGCCTGTTCTGTTCCCCACTCTGTCTCTGGTGAATCCTCTCACCCCCCCGCATCTGTGGCCTGTTCTTGTATGCATAAATAAATAAATCTTAAAAAAAAAAATGTGGAGCAACCCTTTTATACTTTTCCCATCACTTTTATTTTTTAAAATTTTTTTTAAAAATTCTTTTTTTTTTTTTAAAGATTTATTTATTTATTTATACAAGCACTGGGTACTGTCAGAAGTGCGGGAGGGCGAGAGAATTCACTAGAGCCAGAGCGGGGAACAGAACAAGGAGACTGATGAAGTACACTGCTGAGGGTAGCAGCGGGTGGCAGGAGAGGTCTGCGTGCCATGTGGGACCCTCACGTGGTAGCCGGGGATCGAACCGGTGCTGCAGAGGCTGCGGGCAGCTTCGCAACCCATCGCTCAACCGCTGCGCCACCAAGGAGGCCCTCCCATCACTTTTAAATTTCCCTTCTTTACATTTGTGGTTTCTGAAAGGTTTGATGTGCCCTGTTAGTTATCCTTGAGAATCCCTGCTCACCTCTGTGCAGTTCTAGCCTGGGACTTCTTGCTACCGGGAGGACCTCCAGGTTTCCTGTTTGCAAACGTGGTCTGTGTACTTGGCTCTGTCCCCCGCAGAAGGAAGAGTACCATACGCAGCTCGCTGTGCTGTATCTGGACCAGGTGCTGCAGCAGCGGCCCGCCGGCAACAGCAAGGACACAGAAACCACGGAGACGCAGGTGAAACTGCGCCGCCTACTCCAGAAATCTGATTTGTACCGAGTCCGCTTTCTGCTAGGTGAGGAGGCTCCGGGTTATCTCTCCATGGGTAATGTCCCCATGATGGGGGTTGGGGGGGGCGCAGAGATGGCATTAGGCATAACTCCCTCTTTTATGTCCATGCACTCAGTCCTTGAACCTGTTGGTGTGAAGTCAGCCTTCCTGGAGGGTAGGATGCAGCTTCTCGTGCCTCTACCCTCTAGAGACGGACATTGGCTCTTTCACTGATGGCTCACAGGCTGCCCTAGTGGGAGTGGAAGTCTGTATCTACAGCATGCTAGGGGCATCCCTTTACTTAAACATGCTTACTTGGCTTCAGGGAACTCAAATCAGAATTCTTCCTTCTGTTGATCATGACTACGCCCCCTGGCACTGCCCCTGCAGCATCTCCAGGATAGCTCAGAGCCTGAGCCCCAGAAAACCAGGGAAGTCTGGCTTTCATTTCCTCAGGGTACAAAGACCAGTGTTTCTGCATTGTGTAAAATACCATACAGCAACACATGCTTGCACCCAACAGAACTGACAGTAGATCTGCTATTCATGGGATTAATAACATATTTCTCTTTAGCAGCATTTTACTCTGGGTTTTTTTTTTTTTTTTTTTTTTTTTGTCGTTAGTCCAATCGACTACAGTCGATTCTCATTATGCACAGTAGTTATGATCTCCCAAGTATCTGTGAACATTGAGTACTCAATCATTGCACGTATTGAGAAATACAGGGTTAGGTTCCTGCAAACCTCTGATCATATTTTCATCAAGCAATCAATGTATCCCATTTTATGAGTGTTTCTGTTTGAAGGAAACTTGTTTAAGTGTATTATTGATGTATCACGTTGAATTCACAACCAACAGCACCACAAGTCAGGCCAGAACGAAGTTCATGTAGAGCGTGAATTTTCTGTATAAGGCATATCACAGCTTCTTATGCTTAGGAACACTAGACAGCACTTAGGCACATTTTAATGGTGAATTCAATAAAAAGCCAAAAAATGCAAAAAGCATGGCAGTATTTCTTGAAAAGGACCTTTCTTTACAAACTGAGAGCTGCCATAGGCAGGTATACCTTACCTTGTTTGACCCCAGCTGGGGACATGTGTAGCAGGCAACTCCAATTTTTTTGCCACTCTGCATACCCACAAATGACCTCCTACACAGCACAAGATACTGTTTGGGATCACAAATAAATTTTGGCAAGTAGACAAATTTGCAAATACAGAATCTGAATAATGAGCATCAACCGAAAATGCCAGACATAGGTTAAAAGGCTTTGTGTGCATCATGAATCATTTCTACCACAACACTATGAAGTCAGTCCTGTTATTATTCTCATTTTTATAGGCAGGTAGATAGAAGCTTAGAGGCTGCCCACGTTGCCCCAAGCCATAATGCTCATGAACAGTAGAGACAGAGCAAGAACTGGGGTTGACCATTCACCTGCCAGCAAGTACTGGTTGTAGCTTTGCGCTTGCCCCAGGATGAGGACAGTCACTGTGACTGCAGCTACACAGCCGCAGCTACACTGCAGCTCACAGCCACTGGGGATTGGTTGGTGCCTATGCCATATCATTTGAGAGACATTTTCACTACCAGCCCTGACTTAGGTCATACTTGATGCTTCATAGACCCCTTTATGAAAGCCCAGTGCTGGTCATGAGTTTGTCAAGCAATGTTTTTCTTTTGGAGCATGGGGAGCAATGAGCCCTGCCTTGGAGTGGGGGGTGGATGGACAGCCTTCCAAAGGAGGGACTGTGGAAACCATCATAAAGGATAAGTCTAGGTTGCATATAAGGCTGGAGAACTTCCAGGAAGTGGGTGCCCCTCAAGGAACTGTGGAAAAGCACTGGAAATTCTGAACCCCACACTGTACCCCGTAGGTGACCTGGGGTGTGTCATTTTGGCACATTGCAATAGAGTTCCTACAAAGCCTCACCATTGGGGGTGACTATGAGAATCAGATATAAATGAGATGACAGATGTGAAATGTGGAATCACTGCAGTGACCTTTTCTTAACTATCTTTGCAGCATTCCTTGTGCCTTGAATAGGTAGCCACTTAGAAATGCTTTGCTTACCTTTCTTGAGTATGGCAGGGATGCATTTTGCAGCTTCTGAACCTCATAGTACTGGTGACATACATTGGAAGGCCTTTGCTAGAGGATTAGTGGTGTCTGCCATGTTTATTAGGCCTAAGTGTGGCCAAACTTCACATGCAAAATGTCTATAATCTGTGCTATTAATCTTGGCCCCTGAAATAGGATTGTTCTCAGAATAAATCCTTCACAGGAGAAAGAAACCTTGGGCCTCCCCGATGGCGCAGTGGTTGAGCGCTGGGTTGCGAAGCTGCCCCCAGTCTCTGCAGCGCCGGTTCGATCCCTGGCAGCGGGGCGAGGGTCCCACAGGGTGCACAGACCTCTCCTGCCGCCCGCTGCTCCCCTCAGCAGTGTGCTTTGTCAGTCTGCCTGCTCTGCTATCCCCTCTGGCTCTGGTGAATTCTCTCACCCTCCCATGCTTCTGACTGTACCCAGTGCTTGTATAAATAAATAAATAAATCTTTAAAAAAAGAAAAAAAGAAACCTTATGTTATCTTCCTATTTTACAGAGGAAGTAGGAGGCAAAGGGACTTGACCAGTGTCCCAGCCCAATGAGGACATGGCCTTGGTTTGAACTCATGCTTCCTTCCCAGGTTATTTATAATCTAGGGACTTAAATTGCAGGAGAAACAAAAATCTTAGAGTAATGTAAATAGGAGTTTTAACAATATGAATTTATATTCCTTTCAATGAAAAATATTTTGAAATCAGGTTACAGGGGTTCAGCACACTTTTGGGAGAAAGAAGTATTGTCTCTATTTAAGATAACATAATGCTTCAGCTTTTGTAGGAAGATACCATACCAGGGAAACAGGACTAATGATGAATTAATTAGAAGTCTGGAACTGGTTACTCACAGCTTCGTGGTGACCTCTGAGATCATAGGTCATTTGGTTTTTTCATTCTCTCAACATTGTTAAAATTCTATTCTGAGATCTGGCTGTATTTACAAGCATAGTCTGTCTTCTGTTTCCCAAATACATTTGAAACATAAAAGTACAAGAAAGCCATCTCTTTATCATCAAATCGCAGCATGTGGCAATGTCTCAGTAGCCAGGCTTTAAGCTAAAAGCACTGGTGAGGTGGTCGCTGTGGTGCCACCCTGAGCACCTCTGAGCCAGCTGTTTCTAACTGGTGGACTCTGCCTACAGATAGGATCCAGGGTGCCAACCTGCCCATGGAGAGTGCCATCCTGCACGGGAAGTTGGAGGAGCATGAGGAAGCCCTGCGCATTCTGGTACATGAACTGGGGGACTTCTCGGCTGCCAAGGACTACTGCCTGTGGCGCTCTGAGGGCAGAGACCTGTCCTACCGGCAGCGGCTCTTCCACACACTGCTGGCCATGTACCTCAGTGCTGGCCCCACTGCGCAGGAGCTGACCGTGGCCGCCGTGGACCTCCTGAACCACCATGCCACTGAATTTGACACAGCCCAAGTCCTGCAGCAGCTGCCGGGCACCTGGTCAGTGCAACTGCTCTGCCCGTTCCTGACAGGGGCCATGAGGGACAGTGTCCACACCAGGAGGACCACTCAGGTGGCTCTTGGCCTGGCCAAGTCTGAAAACTTAATTTACAAATATGATAAGGTGAGTGCCCTTCCAGGCAAGCTAACTTCTTGACCAGTCAACATTTTGGTTAAGGTAGATTTTGCCTATGGAAAAACTGTCAGTTTTCTTTATGACTTAGAACATCAAAAGTATGAGAGTCTGTTCACATAGAAGCTGAGAGAGACTCACGACAGAAGCAGAAGCTGGGCTGGTAGGTGTAACTGGGTGTAGTTTTCCTTCCCTTTTAAAGAGACACTAATGCTCAAGAGATGGTAGGGGAAAGCCAATACTGTGTTCCACTTCCAGAAACTTCCTAGTGTTTGCGACATTGTTCTACACTTAACAGCAGGTCATTTCATCACAACAATGTTGTGCAGTATCTATTATTGTCTGCATGTCACAGAAGAGAAAACATGCACTGAGAAGCCACAAAGTTAGTAAATGCAGCAGCCTGGCTGTGAATTCCCAGGCTATTTCAGATCTCCAGGTCTCGGTCCCTGTATCAGTCAGCACTGGCTACTATAACACATGCCATAGTCTGAGTCATTTAAACCACAGACATTGATTTCTACAGTTATGAAGTTGGAAGTTCAAGGTTAGTATGCCGGCAGACATGTGTGTTAGTATGCCAGTGCCTGGCATGCAGCCAGCTCCCTTTTCTCTGCAGGGAGAATGAGCTCTGGTCTCTCTTCCTCTTCTTCAGTAACTGTAATGCCACCAAAGGAGCACCACCCTCATGACTCAGCTCAACTTAATTATTTTCCAAAGGCCCCACCTCCAAATATCATCATTCTGGGAGTTAGGGCTTCAACATAGGAATCTGGGGAATGGCGCAAGCATTCAGTTCAAGACAGTCCCCCAGCTTACCCCCCTCTGAGACAGCTCTCTTGTGACGGTCATATTCCTGCAATTGGTAGCGTGACTTGCACAGCAGAGTTCCATGTAGAAGCCTTCACTATTCCCCACTGGAGTAGTCAGCCTCACCTCAGACCCATCCTTGTCACCATCACCAAGACACATGTGTCCTCCAGGACATGACAGGCTGTTTCAGGCCTCCTTGCCTTTGTATTTGTTATTCCCTCTGCCTGAGCTAGTTTTACCTTTCTCTTTAATGCCTGATAAACACCTACCGAAAACTTACACTAAGCATTTCTTTTGTGAAACCTTTGTATCCCTTTAAGCAGATGTGTCACCTCTTTTGCCCACTCATCTGCTGTGTGCTTGCATTTGTAATCTCTTCCCTTTATTAGTAGACTTTGGGTTCTTTGAGGGCAGGAAACTTCATTTTTTTCAGTATCCCTAGAGCCCAGACTGGTATCATCTATAAGGCAGATAATAAATATTTCTTGAATGACAGATGAAGCCAGGGAGCACATTCACTAAGTTCCTATTCAATCCTGCCAACAGACTGGCTTGACTGATAGACGTGAGTGAGTAGCGCAGAATAACTTTTTAACTTGCAAAACTTAAATCTCACAAGACAGGGAAAATGGAGTTACAGCTCAACTCATTCGTTACCTTTAAAGAAATGAAACGTTTCCCAGTACCAGCCAGGAATGTGCCATTCATCAAATATATGGCTTTGACTAAGTCACTGATTTGTGCCTTGTTCTTCTTGTTTGCAAATGAGAGGACCAGGGAATTAGATAAATTCTATGGTCTGTTCAGCTCTGACATTACTGGACTCTATAATAGGCCTTCCTTAAATGTATAGAGTTGAGTGAACTTTTGGGAATGAATATGGATAGAAATGCTTTGACCAGGCAAGCAGCAATTTTGTAAAATAAGCAGTTTTGTAACCTTTTTTGTTTCTCCAGCTGCTAAGGATTACTAAGGTGATAGTACCTTACCTGTACAATTTTAAGAAATTGATATTTAAAGCAATCCTCATCAGTAATAGTAATGCATGGGGTAACATGTGCCAACTCTGAAAACTGCTGTAACTGTTGTTAACTAGCAGAAATCCACTGAGTTAATTTTAAAGGTCTAATTGACTATTAAGAGATTCATGCATTGGTCAGCAGTGTAGCTGGCAGAAAAGTACTATTCAGCGTGAAAGATTTGTATAGGTAGAAAAAGGCAAGAAGGAAATACTTTTGGTTCAGGTGGTCTATCTGTGGGGAATGAATAAAGGTTTTGTGACAGATTATCTCATTTTCCTCTGGGAAATGGAAAAGATGACCTCATTGGCTCTGACCAGAAAATTCCATACCAACCCTTTGAGACTACATTCCTGGGAGGTTGAAACTGCAGTTGGGTTAGATATTATGTCTTGGGGCACTTTGCACAAGCACTTTTTGAGCTGTTGTTTTTAACACTATATGTACCAGAATTCTCAACCTGTCTTTCTTTTTGCAGATGAAGCTGAAAGAAAGTTCGGTTCGGCTCTCAGACAAAAAGATTTGCCAGATGTGCCAAAATCCCTTTTGTGAGCCCGTGTTTGTTAGATATCCAAATGGGGGTCTCGTCCACACCCACTGTGCTGCCAGCAGACACACAAACCCCAGCTCACCCAGCCCCGGCACTAGGACTTGAAGAGGCCCGCCTGAGGGCGCCAGTGGACCCTGAGTTCACCAAGCCTGCTGGGTGCAAAGAGCAAAAAATCACTACGCTTGTATCAATCAAGACAAAGAAATGGCATCTGGGTGCTGGGGAGACTTCAGTCAATGTGAAACAGGGACTCTACTTACTGTGGGTCACGCTATATTGAATGTACTTGCAAAATGTCCAAAATAGAGACATGTGAGAGTTTGCCCATGCAGGTACCTAGTAATCCAAAACAGACGTCTACTTGGAAAAAAAAATGAGCCTTTCCCGTGCAATCCAAACAAACTGGATTCCCCCTCCCCTATCCCTGCGCCCTGATCTTTAAATACATGTTTGCACTGGAAACATATGCTTCAGGTGGCACGGAGTGGCCAGCACACAGAGCTGTGTGGTGGGCAGGTTTCACCTGGTGCACCTTTCCTTCCCGTGGGTGTGTTCTCCCTCCATGAGGCTTGGCCCTGGGGGCCCTTCCGTTTCCTGGGATTACCATGTGGGCTCTGCCTTTGCCCTTGGAAATGCTGACCTTAGGGAAATATTTTTATTTCTTCCTACTTCCCATTTGGCTCGCGATCCCTGAAAGAATCTGTCTTGTTTACCCAAGCACTCCCTTTGGGTAAATTCGTCTGCTACTGGCACCCAACTAGTGAAGACCTAACAGAAACTGCTAAAGCTGCAGGAGAGACGCAACTGCCCCATCAACGGACAGGAGCTCCACGGCAGGCCAGGGCCCGGCTGTGTGTCCTTTCCTGTCGCCTCATCTGCTGATTTAAAACTACAATTAACATGTTTGACTAAAAATTTTTATTTGAACTATATCATCTTTGTAATTTTTCTCTTGATTGGAAATTCATCTGTCATATTCATTGGGGACATTTTTCTTGGTAAAATGTATCTCCTATCGAATACACGGGAAATGAAAAGGGAAACATTATGAGCACAAACCATGCATATTTGCAGAAGAGGCAGGTTTTGCCTCATCCTCTGAGCAGGGCAGGCAGTGGGGACAGCTGCCTTTGCACAGGACAGAGACGCTTCCTTCCTGACAGTGCTTCCGCACGCCCTTCTGGGAAGTTCAGTCAGGCTGCCTTACCTCCCAGCACTTTACACGCCCGCTCTGAGGTTTCCTGAAAATACAGGACAAATGCCTCTGTGCATCCCCATCTGGGACATTCATCTGTATTTCTAACATCGCTGAGAAGATGAAGCTATTGTTACTTCACTGCCCTCTTTGAATTTCTTCATAGTGATTATTGATTCTGTTAGGAACTAACAAGAAACACTGTACCCTCTGCCATAACACTTGCCAAATAAGCATCCGCTTACGCATGTGACAAGAGGGAACGCTGGACACACACCCTCTGTCCATCAGTCTCCGTCGTACTGATGGGGAGAGGGCGTGGAAGCTCATTTTCTGTTCTTTAAACTGTTTTCCTGTACTAATAATGGTCAGTATGCTTTTTCCTTTTGTGATTCTAAGTGGGCCAGAAAAGCAAAGATATCCACACGTTCTTTCCTAACTATGTCTCAATCTAAAGAATAAATGGTGAAGAAATTCTCCTTGTAATCCACTGTCTGCTCTGTAAATTGGTCTGAATTCAAAGCCTGGTCATGAGTTGTACCCTGTGGGTGACTATAAGGGGATGATTATTTACAGAGCCATTACAGCTTCTGAGTTTGGGATTTGCTCCTCAAAGGACAAGGTACCAGTACTTGTACTACTGCATTTTTAAAAGCACTGTTTCTTTGTATGCAAAATGCGCAAAATCTTGAAAAAGACTTGTGATTGCTCGCTCCTAACTTGGGACACTTCTCTTTTTCCCCTCTGAATATAGACCAATATTTTGAAATGTTAGTTATCCTTTAAAATGGGAATTAAAGTTGAACAGTTTTCCATCTCTGCCAAATCCTCTAACAAGGCAGAATTCTTTGACATTGGGTGGAATTGTCTACGTTCAAAACCATATCTTTCTCTAGCTCCTACAAGATCCTTTCTCAAATCATATTTTTAAAGAAATATGTCTCTTTGTAAAGACCTCCTGTTTGCAACTCTGATGTGGAAAAGAGCAATTGAATTGTCAGTTGGCCCATTTTTCCCTCATTAGGTTCAGTATAAACATTCTAGTTAAAACAGCATGAAATGAACCCAGTTGACATTAATATTCACTGGGCAATACTGTTTATCTGCTGTTGCCTGTCAATTATTAATATAAGAATGTCATGTAGGCTGTGGAACATTGGACCTGAGCTCAGGACAGAAAGCTCATGCCAATGAACTTGGTAAATGTGCAGGGAAGCTGGGGTGACTGGGGGTTGGGGGGTCACCCTTTCAAGTTGATGCCTGTCACACAGTTAGGGTAGTCCTTGCTTTTTGCCTGCTCCTCTATGGAAACCTTGTTCTTGCAACTTTATCCTTTGCCTCTGGTTGTGTCCCAGATACCCACGATGTACAAATGTAAACTTGTTGATTTTATTAAAATTCTCTTACATTGTTTTTTCTGTAATTTTTAAAAAATAAAAATTGTCTTGGTGAAGCGAGGGTTGCCACTCACACAGAATCCAGTCCATAGAGTTCCAGAACTCAGTTGTTCACACCTCATAGCACCTCCAGCACCTACAAAGGACTGGCATCAGCCACCCCTCATATTCTTTGTTATAACCTTCTGAATTTTAAACTATGTACTTCTGAGTTTATCCCCTGCATATTCTTAATGTGCTCCTTGACATTTGTTGCCTTCAGATTAATCATTTCCTGAGGAATTTAACAAAGGTGATTCTGGTTACTTCTTATATACTTCACCTTTAGCCAAATGCTCCTGCTGCTGCTCCTGAATATCTTTAAGAAATAATTTCTTTTTTTTTTTTTTTAGTCTTCACATTTTACTTTATCTCTTAGAAGCTTGTTCATGGCAGTTCTTTGAGAAATCCTGGTGAGTGAATTTCATAGGACTGGCCCATTAGTGCCAGCCGTTAGAAGAGGCTGTGTTCACACAGCTGTAGCCCCTGACTATTCTAGCTCTTGTTCTGCTTGCCAGGCTGGCTAGCCAATTCCAGCGCATGTGGGTGGTGGCAGAAGAGGGATGAGTCATCTATAATTCAAGCTGAAGAAACAGAGGAGTAGGGTTATTGGGGTGATGGATCCCACTAAGCCACAGCTACAGTCCCGTGCGAGGCTTCCCTGCCTTGTCCCTCACCAACCACAAGTGAAAGAAGAAACCAGGCCAGAGTTAACTGCTCAGTCAGCTGCTGCTTTCAAACAGGGAGTGGCAACTTTATCTCTTCTCATTTTTATATTATTGATAACCTAGACTTCATTCATGTACGCAGTGTAAAAAGTGGGGAACTTAGGCTTAAAACCTGACCTCAGAGGCAGAGACTGTGGCTTCACACTTCCTATGAGAAAATCACAAGGCCAAGTGGCCAAGATGGAAAAAGAGTGTGAGTGACTGGCTGTAGGGTAAGGGAAAATGTCAGGCTTTTCTGCCCTCCCGCCATCAGGATAGATGATGGATCCTTGTCCTGAATGCATGCCTGATGGCGGGCACCTGGAGTAGAGTGTGGGCATAGGTAGATGGGATTCACCTGGGCTAAGACTGAGCTTTTAAAGGGCGGTGTCATGGGGACGCCCTCAGAAGCTGAGAAAGAAGAAGCAGAGCCATGAGAAGAGCAGAGAGAATGTGAGAGAAGGTCCGAGAGCCCAGAGTGAAGACTTGCTGGCAGGCCTCCCAGCCCCCCAGCGCCCCTGCCTGCCGTGTACCTGGTAATCTAAATTAAAAAACCTGCTAAAGCCACCGAGGACTCTGACTCCTTCTCCCCATCTGCATGGGATCTTAGAGATCCTGCACTGTACCCACTCCTGCCCATACACTGGCCTAAATGTGCCTGTTGGTAGAGGCAGAGACTGGTGCCTGCCTCAGTTAAATGGGCTGTGACTCATGTAGGAGTAATTAGATATTAACTAACACCCCATTTGGTCTTAGCAGATCTGTCAACCTTAGTGTTTGAGATGAAACAGTACAAGAATCTAGACCATATGGACGACAGACCCTTTCACCTTCTCAAAAAAACTAAATGGCTGGAGCACCATCTAAAAGCTTGTTAATACCTTGTTCAGAGATAAGCACTGGAATTAATGAAGCCTGTGTTGCTTTCACTTGCAACCAGGGAAGGGAAACAAATAGCTATAATTCAGTCTGGAGTCCGGAGTCGTAAATTACTTAAATGAGACAAGTAACAAAAAAGGATCAGAAAACAACACACAACTCAGCAGGCCTAGTGTGACTTGAGAAGTAAGATGTTGCCACTAGATGTGGGGAGACCAGGGTCTGACCAGGCCCTGACACACTCACCTGTGGTCCTGGCAAGTCATGTCCTCTGCACCTGTGGAGTCACCCGAGACTGTCAAAGCAGCTGCTGGTGTCTGCGGCACTAACCCTCTGCTCCAAAGAAGTAGGTCAGGACTCTGGCAGTGGGGCGGTCCAGCCTTCGGCACTGTAGCTGTCCTTTGTTGGGCCTCAGATTGTAGCGCCCAGCACAGGAATGCTCTAAACCCGCCATGGATGCGTCTGAGCACTCCCGGAATCTCAGCTTCCAGACTCTCATCGTCTTGTTGGAATTAGTAGAGAAGTGCCTCTCTGGGGCTTACCAAACCTCTACCCCTCCGGTTCCAGCACTGCCATCGATAGCTGGTTCTGAGGTGCCCTTTCCAATGACCAGTTCTCCAGTGTCTCCAGTGGAGACACTGTCTCCAGTCTTTGCCTTTTCTCACCATCTGGCTTCCAGAGCCCTTCGCCTTCATTGTCATTTTTCTTGAAAACATTTTCTAGTTTCCACTTTTCTAATTTCCTCTGTGGCCCATGGTTGTGGCAAGCCTGCAGGCTGGAGAGGCAGGGGATGAGGCAGGGGGCCGGGTGGCAGGAAGGCAACTGCATCTTCCAGCCCCCCATGAATCTTTACTCTTTTTTCTGGGCTCTCTCTGGCATCCTCTGGGGGTCTTGCCTCTTCTGTAGTCACGCAGCTCATCCTCTCATAGCCATCTCCCTCTCACAGCCATCTTCTGAGTGACGCCACCCTTATATGCCCGCCTCCAGGCTCAGGTGTGCCCACTTACGCATGCCCACACCATATTCCAGGTGTCCGCCATCAGGCACACGTACCCCATGCCCATGCTCCCAAGCGCCTCCAGCATTATTAGCACAATGAAGGCTGCAGGTGATAGCCATAGAGGCTAGAGGTGCAAAAAACCTGCACAGCAAAAGAAGCTATCATTCAAACAAAAGACCCCCAGCTGAATGGGAGAAAATAATTTTGCACATCATACATATGACTGGAAGCTAAAATCCAAGAGCTGTAAAGAATTCATACAACTAGGGGCCTCCCTGGTGGTGCAAGGAGTTAAGATGCAACCTATGAAGCTATCTACAGCCACCGCAGCACAAGTTCGATCCCTGGCCAGGGAGCTACACACATGGCGCAGCAGACCTCTCCTGACTCACCTGCTGCTCCCTTTAGTAGTGTATTTCAGTCAATCTGCCTGTTCTGTTCCCCACTCAGTCTCTGGTGAATTCTCTCACCCTCCACACCTCTGGCCTGTACCCCAGTTCTTATAGGCACAAATAAATCTTAAAAAAAAAAAAAAATAAATAAGAATTCATATAACTAAATGAAAAGAAAGCAAATAACTCAATCCAAAACAAGGGCAGAAGAGCTAAATAGACATTCCTCCAAAGAAGATATACATGGCCAAAAGCACACGAAAAAATGTTCATCATCACTTATTATCAGGGAAACGCAAGTCAAAACCACAATTTGGGGCCTCCCCGGTGGCGCAGCGGTTGAGCGCTGGGTTGCAAAGCTGCCCACGGCCTCTGCAGCGCCGTTTCGATCCCCGGCTGCTCCCCGGCCACCAGAGGAGGGTCCCACATGGCGCACAGACCTCTCCTGCCGCCCGCTGCTCCCCTCAGCAGTGTACTTCGGTCCTTCTGCCTGCTCTGCTCCCCGCTCTGGCTCTGGTGAATTCTCTCACCCTCCCGCGCTTCTGACTGTACCCAGTGCTTGTATAAATAAATAAAAATAAATCTTTTAAAAAAAAAGTACATGATCTTTAAAAAAAAAAAAACAAACACAATTTGATACCTCCTCACACCCGTGAGAATGGTCCATATTAAAAAGATCAGAAACAACAAGTGTTGTAGAGACTGTGGAGAAAAAAGTAAATTAAAAGGTTACCAAAACCTGTAAGGATGGAAGGAACAATGTTCGTGGATTCTAGTGTTTCAGAGTAACATAGGGTAAGGAGGAGCAAATGGCTTGAGCAAACCAGCCTTCTGCAGTGTTCTGAGCTCTGGAGACCCGGTGACTCTAGTTGGCTTGTAGTTGCCACAGATAGTTATTTGAGCCAAATTGCATTTCTGGGGAGATGCAAAACACTTTCAGTAATTGTTTCTCTTGCACTGTTCTATTAGCAATAAATATGTGTTCATTGGTCTCAGTCTCTGCAAAACTGCAAAGCTTTTAAATAGTCAGGCCTGCTGTGTGTTTTACACTCATTGGGAAATTTGGAGCTGTTTTGATCCAACTCGTGGCCCAAAGGGTCCCCTGCCCAGCCTGTTGGTGGTGAGCCCACGGTGGTTAATGGGAAGTGTTTTATAACCTACCTTTAGAATTTCCCAAATTTTCAGTAATTCTCAAGTATAGGTGCTTAAAGAATTACCATGAACTCTTGGAAAAGCAGTTTTATTATGGCATCAAAAGCCACCAATTCTGCCCTTAGAAGTTTATTTTAGGAAAACAATCAGTAGGTAGGCAGAAAGAGTTATGTCAGGCATGCTCATTCCAGCATTTTAAAATAATGATGAGAAATAGAAAAATCTCTGAAACATGGGGTGCACTTAAGTGACTTAGCTTGTGGTACATTCACAGAATGGAAGACTTGCAGTCACCAGAAACCACTTCATAGCATGAAAAAGAACCAAAACAAAACTAGGTCACAAAATTGTGATATATATGATCTGAATTTTGCAAAAACAAAATGCATTTTTCTATGTAATAGAAAACCTACGGAATCTTTAAAACTTCTTTTGCTTTGGAGTAAAAAGGAAATCTAATATGTATATTTGTAGTTTTGCTTTTATTTCTACAGGGAGCAAATTACCTCTATAAGTAGGGGAAAAAACACAGTATGAATGACTCTTAAAACTTGTGACTAGGGGGCATTTATTCATAAAGATGAAAAGTATGTTACCATTTGCAGTCTCTAAATCTAAACTTTATATATGGTACCACCTCACATCTTTTCATTTTAGCCATATCTGCTTGTTGCATTGAGAAGGAAAGATCTGAGAAGACCAGAGAAATGGGCCAGACATGAGAAGGATGTGTACTCAAAAGAGGATTTGTAGGTTGACTCAAAGATGTGACAAAGATTTAGACTCAATGGGATAAAAATTTCATGGCTCATCCTCACTGTGGAGAACCCCAGAAGCCACCAGGAACATAAATCTGGGTCAGGCTGCAAAGCCCACAGCCCCCAGGGCAGGTTTTTAGTGGATACATTTCAGCAGCCTCAGGACTCCCTGTAAGGGGACTGAGTCTTCTGTGTAGCTTCTCTAGAGGCCCCACAAATTCTGGAAAGAATGGGAACCTTGGGGAGAAAGGGTCTCCTGTTTTCTTTAACTCTCTTCATGCTTTGAAAGTAAATTAAGCCTTCCATTTTCCAAATGCATTTTTAAATTTATTCTGACTTGTTTGTCTTGTACGGTGACATTCATGGTTTAGTGCAATTCTTCGAGACACCACAGCTAAATAATCTAATGAAAGAATATGGTGGCAGCATTTCAATGAGGAGGGAAACAAGAAATAGTCTCAAAAGACAATTAATAAGAAGCAGCAAACCTGTCTTTCAAAAATGATCGCTGATACATTTTTCCTGCTTGGAATGGTTGGCAAAGGGACAGCCGATGCCAGAGGCAGCAGAAGAAAGCGCAGTCAGAGAAGCTGGAACACGCAGATTCAGTGAAGAATTTGTTCATGCCACTCAGGTCTTGGGGAGCCTCAGCTGTTCACCTGAACATTTCAGCAGACTAAACTTGCCTATCAGTGACCTTAGATTTGCAGTTACTGAAGGGAAAGTTCTGGTTGCATCTAAGTTTCTCAGAGAAGCTCTGTTCTTATCAGACGAAGTAGGAAAAAGCTATCTCTGCAACAGCCTGTCCTTGTCCCCTCTGAGCCTGGCAAGCCCTGGCTCCATTCCTGTGCCTGAACACCTGTCCCCGGCTCTTCTAGGATCAAAGATGAGAGACTAGAAGGTAAACTGGAACTGTCTGCTAAAGTAACCCTGGACCCCTGCCCCAAATAATACACACATGAATACAAACACACACACACATACACACACTATGCTTATACATTCATATATCCTTTTATTCTTAGAGAATCCAGATGCTAACCTCCCAGCTAGGGTACCCCTTTCCTGGAGGAGTAAAATTGCCATGACCTGGCTGGGTCCCTTCCCACACTCTGTGGTGCCCCACCTTGCCATTGGCAACCAGATCCCACCTTTCCACAGGCAAAGCTTTGAAATTACACTCTTTCCTTTATCATAATCAAATTCCTCAGTACAGTTGGTCTCATTCATTCTTGATGGTCATTTTATATAGTCATTTTTTTTCTTATTTTGGAAAATACATCCGTTTGTGGAATCAAAATTTCAAATAGTTTAGCTTTCATATCTCCGTTCTTTATGTCTAAAAGGTTAAATGTGGTAACGTTATCTCCCTAATACAAGCATAAATATGTGCAGTTTCTGTATTTGGATATAGATCACTATATGCTGACAGCAGTAGGTAAAATGGCAACCATCATGGGTTAATTTGTTAGAAATGTATCTTTTTTTTTTTAAAGATTTATTTATTTATTTATACAAGCACTGGGTACAGTCAGAAGCGCCGGAGGGTGAGAGAATTCACCAGAGCCAGAGCAGTGGGCAGAGCAGGCAGAAGGACCGAAGCACACTGCTGAGGGGAGCAGCGGGCGGCAGGAGAGGTCTGCGCGCCATGTGGGACCTTCCTCTGGTGGCCAGGGAGCAGCCGGGGATCGAACTGGCGCTGCAAGGCTGCGGGCAGCTTCACAGCCCAGCGCTCAACCGCTGCGCCACCAGAGAGGCCCAGAAATGTATCTATTTTATAATGAGCAAAAATGTCATTTGTGAAATTTGTACTTAGGACTTCAGAATTTATGTATGTGCTCGGATATCTTGTTTTTCCAAATCATGCAATATTTTGGCAGAAACCTTGGGGAATCCACCAAATCCTTCTCTTCTTCCTTGCTAAGAAAGCTGTAGCTGGGCGCATGGTCCCTGACCAGGGCCTCTGTTTCCCGGTGTCCTTTGCAGGAGGGTGTGATCATGTGACTCTGCTCTTGAACAAGGAAGACCAGGGGATCTTTTTTTATTTAAGATTTATTTACTTATGTGTAGAAGAACTGTAGTGAGGCCAGAGAATTAGGAAGGTGACAAATTGAAGTCACAAATGAAGACTAACTGGCTGGAATTTCTTTCTTTCTTTTTTTTTTCCTGGTTGAAATTTCTTGGCTGTATTGTGATTTTAGAAAATGTGCCACCCACCTAGTTCTGAGTCCCATTGCTCAGACATTCTCTGGGTGTCTTCTTATTGTCATTTTCCTTCGAGAGTCATTCCAGCTTAGTTCTAGATGTCCTGACGTTGTTCCTTAGAGGTTTTATATACCAGATTCTTGGTTTACTCTTCATGGCCTTGGTGCTAATTTTGGCAAGAACATAGTCTTATACACCGAAAGAGCAATAATACTTTATTTAAAATATATACAAAATTATTACTTTGAAACATAAATATTACTGTTCAACATATAGCATATAACACTGATTGGTGTACATTTTGGTACCTTCAGCTTTGTGATTTCTGATTTGCTCAAGGCTCCTAAAGAACATTCTCTAAGTGCCCCCCTAAGAGGAGGCCCTGCTGGCCCAGTCCTTTTTGGGGTCTGCTGTGTGACTCTACCCGCTGGGACCTGAAGGCAAACCCCAGCCTTTCTGGGGGCACTTGTGATGCAGAATTAATGGGGTCCTCCCCAACCAATCACAAGTCAATTGCCCTTTCTCCTCTTTCTCCTCTTCCTTATTCTTTCCCCTTCCCCCCCAGTCTGGGTACAAAGGAAGGATGGAGTTGGTGAGAAAAAAAATGTCAGTTATTTTCTTGACTAATCCTCCGCTAGGTTTATTTTAATGTAAACTATTATTCTCTTCATCCCGCTTCTATTCCTGACTCCATCTCCTTTAACATGGGAAGAAGAGTGTGAGAGAAGGAGGTGGCCTCTTCATACACACTAGAAAAGAAAAAGAGGAGAAACAAAAGGGAGGTCTGTGCTCTTGTGCCAAAGTCTAGTTACAATTATCCTGAGATAAACTGGAGAACTGCCTTTGGCGACAGCCTGTGCCTTATTCATCACTCTCTAGCACACAGTGCCTTGCATCTAGTAAACACTTAATAAATGCTCATTGCATGGAGAACCAAGTGGATGCAGGAGGTCTGGTGAGCACGGGTGGAATTTCACACCTGTCAGAGTCAGAGTGTTGGAGAAATCAGCGGGATGCTGGAGATCCTCTAGACCAGATTCCTGACTTGGCAGATGAGGAGACTGAAGCCCAGAAAAGTGAGGTGAAATGAACAGGGTAGGTGACTAGCTCCCAATAGAGTTAGACTTGGAATCAGGTTTTCTGAATTTCTCCTTACATTTCCTACTCTCTTAGGATTGGAAGCGATGGAGAGAGCCCCACAGCTTCAGCGGTGTGCCCTAAACTTAGGAGGTTCATCTCCCAACACTGGAGACTCCGTGCAGGTAGTGGCTGAGTATACAGCACAGATAGAAAGGTTCCCCTCCCTGGAAATCTGACTGTAGACCTATGGCCAGCCAAGGGGTGGGGGTCCCACAGAATATGGTGCAGGGTTTCGGGTGCTTTGGTGATGGATGTGGTCACACACATTTGAAGAGAGGTGATCCTATACCTCTGAATCAGACACAGTGTTGTAAACCAACATGACCTCAATAAAAAAATAATATAATTAATAAAATAAAATATTGAATCTAAAAAATGAAAAAGAAAAAAAGGAAAGGTCCCCACTGGGCAGCCTGGGTTTGAGAACCAAGCTCTCCCAGAGGTGGCCCAGAGGCAGCAGTCAGATTCCTTCGGACTGGAATGAGGTAGGAGGAGCACAAGAGATCCAAGATCTGCAAGGAACTGCCAGTGGCTCAGGAGTTCCTCATGCCCTCAGCTGCCAGCCTGCGCTGAGGTCCACTGGGCAGCTCACAGAGGCTGCAGCCCCAGGGTGTCAGAGGAAACATGTAAACAAAGCCCACGAACCACTTCTGAAATGGAAAACAAGTGACTGCAAATGCGCAGAAACAATGAGTTGCAGAGAAGTCGAGTGTTTTTCCACAGAGCAGGGAAGGAAAGGGGAACAAAGCGGAACAGGGAGTGTGGAGGGAGGGGCCCGGGGCTGAGACACTGACAAGGAAGGCGTCAGGAGGGCTTCAGGGCACAGGGGTGCTGTGGGCCCAGCCTGGCAGAAGGGGTGTGGCATCATGTACGAGTGCTCAGGGGTTCAGGTGGGCTTCCTCTCCACTCCCAGGATGCCCCCGAAAATTCTTGGCTTCCAACCACTGACCCTCCCGTGCATCACACCAGGGAACTGAGGAGCACCGGGGCTTCCTCTGCCAGCAGCGTTTTGGTTTACAGGAAGGATGAGTCTGCCAGACCAGAAATGTGCTTCCGACTGACATTGAGAAACCTGTGTGTTTCCCCATAGGCCACAAACACAAACACTTAGAAGAATGTTGGTGTCAAATAAAATGCACAATGACCCATAAAAGGAGACCGACTCGGATTTCTCACAGGAGAATTTGGCACCGTAGAGTTTTTCTTAAGCACGTGGAGAGGAGACGTTAGCCAGAGACTTCCTCCGGCCCCAGACCCAACCAGTCTCACTCCGAGGGGCTCCTCTCTCCTCTGCCCTGACTTTCTGTCCAACTTCTAAACCCTTGCCCCTTCCTACTTTGCCTCAACTACCTTCTTGAATCCATCAGACCCACAAAATGCTCTCCAGTGAGAAACAAAAATAATTTGTTCTGAAAATTTGGGAGTCAACAACTCATCTGGCAACAAATGATACCTTTGTGCTTAAATGGCCACCACGAAAAGCTGATTGGGACGAAAGTGCCAGGAAGCCGAGCAGGTCAGACGAGCCCCATCCTGGAGCCAGTCCACGAGCCCAGCCTCCTTGAAACAGCAGCCTGCCCCCCCTAAACAGCAGACTGGTTTTCGTTGCACACATAGACAGTGCTTGGCTGGATTCTTCTGCGGATCCGCTCAGGCACTTTAGGGGGGATTTGGAAGGTCTGGGGCAGCAACTCTATGCAAGCCTCACGGAATTTTTTGATTCTCCAGCAGTAGACAATGGGATTGAAGACAGACTTGAGGTAGCTGAGCCAAAGAACACAGGAGCTGGTGGTGTAGAAGGAGGAGCTGCAGTAGAACCTCCGGCTGAACACAGACAGAAGGCTGTAGACTGTGTGAGGCAGCCAGCAGAGCGAGAAGCCCACAAAGAGGATCAGGATGGTGGTGAAGGCCTTGGTTTTGAAGCTCAAGTCCATACTGACCTGCTGTTGCCGCTGGAGCCGCCTCAAGCCCGCCCTCGTCAGATGTCTCAGGTCCAGGCTGTCAGACTGGTTGTGGACGCGGATGGCGTTCTTCCGGACCGTGTGGAGGATGCACAGATAGGAGCACAGCATGACACCAAAGGGTGCAAAGAACACAGCCACCACCAGCGTCACAACGTAGGCACGGTTGGCCAAGAACTCCGAGTAGCCCAGCACGCACTGAGGGGCCCGAGCAGGCACCTCCACAAAGGTCCAACCTGCAAGAGAGGGAGCAGAGACGCAGAAAGACAGCGCCCAGGAGGTGGCGATTATCACCTTGGCCCTCCGTGGATTCAGCTTGTCCTGACGCTGCACGATGATGAGAAAGCGGTCCACGCTGATGATGAGCAGGATGGCCACGCCCTCCAGGACAAAAAACCAGTAAAGTGTGGCCGAAAGTCGGCAAAAGTAATCCCCAAAGTGCCAGTGGACCGTGATCAGGGTGACGGCAGTGAACGGCATGCAGCATAAGGACAGCATGATGTCTGAGAAGGCCAGCGTGGCCAGCAGTAGGTTGATGGCAGAGCGCATGGCTGGCCTCTGATACACAATGATGCAGACAACGGCGTTGCCCAGGAATCCCACCACGATCATCAGCATCATGACTACTGCCAAGGATATCCTGAGGGGGGCGGCCGGGGGAGCCAACCCGGAGTCCGACACATTGGTCCCATTCAGCAGCAGGTATTCAAAAGTCAGCATGGATGTGCTGTTGCAGGCCATAGTGGAGGCAGACGAGGCCAGGGCAGAAACAGCTGGACAGGCTCCTCTCAGTGCTTTGGTGGCAGCTGGCTGCTGGCTGCCAGCTACATCTTCTTCCTGGATGCCCTGGGTCTCTTGGGCACTGGGCTGGTCAGGAGAGATGTCTTTCTTTGGGAACACTAGCTGGGGACTCACCTTTTATCAATCACATCCTCATCATCTCTGCAACAATTGATGGTGTCCACGCCTTTGGACTTAGACACTCTCTGTAGCCTAGGAAGAGAGTAAGGAAGAGCACAAAAGATAGGGAGTTAGACTTCCCACATACACGTCAAATAGGGCAGTGTTTAAATATTAGAGGTATTCTAAACACTAGAGTGGTGGGCCTCTGTGAGCACAGCACTGTGAAGCTATCTGTACCTCTGCAGTACGAGTTCGATCCTCAGTGAGAGAGCTACTCACTTGGCACAGCAGACCTTTCTTGCCCGTTGCTCTCCTCAGCTTGTATTTCAGTAGATCTGTCTGCTTTGCTCCCCTCTCTGACTCTGGTGAATCCTCTTACCCCTGAACCTCTGGCCTACACCCCAGTTCTTGTATGCAAAAATAAATAAAATAAAAATCTTACAATAATGGAATAAATAAAAGTAATGTCTTCTAAAAGTAAACAGCCGGGACCTTCCTGGTGGCACAAGGGATTAAGACGCAACCTATGAAGCTCACTGCAGCCACCGCAGCATGACTTCGATCCCCAGCCAGGTAGCTACCCACATGGCGCAACAGACTCTCCTGACTCACCTGCTGCTCCCCTCAGCAGTGTCTTTCAGTCAATCTGCTTGTTTTGTTCCCCACTCTGTCTCCGATGAATCCTCTCACCTGCCATACCTCCGGCCTGTACCCCAGTTCTTGTATGTATAAATAAATAAATGTTTAAAAAATAAATAAATAAAAGTAACCAGCCAACTAACTCCAAAGTAACACCTTCTGAACTTTCCAAGACATTAGTGTTCCTTAATGAAAATTTTGGAGGGATGTTTGTGCAGTAAATTCTTCCATAGCATGCTCCCCTAATCTTTTTTTCTTCTACATCCTTTGTACCCCTCTGACACTTTCTCCTTCCTACCTCCCTCTGAATTTCAGAAACCTTACTTCTTTATCAGTGTCCACTAGTTTTTTAAGTACTCTGCTTTGTAAAATTAACCATATGTAAGTGTCCAATATTTGTTTTTGTCATTCTAACTTATTTTACTACAGTTAGTTCCCTGCCTTCTACTGTGCAGTCAATGGTTAAAATTTCTTTCCTTTTGGCTACCTTCTATCCCATAATGTGGACATACCACATCCTCGTGATCCAGTTTCTATCAGTGGGCATCTAGGTTGTTTCCATGTCCTGGTTATTGTAAGTAATGCTGCAAAAGACACTGTAGCATGTCATTTTTTGAGTTCATGGCTTCTTGTTCTTCAGATAAATGCTCAACAATGGGATGGCTAGATCACATGCTATTTCAAATTTTGTTTAGTAAGGTAAATCCAGATAGCTTTCCAAAATGTTTGTACAGTTTACAGTCCCAGCAATGATGTATTATAGTTCCTCCTTCTCCAAATTCTCTCCAAAACTTATTGTTGGGGTCTTTGTAATATGTGCCATTCTCACAAGTATGAGATGGTCTATCATTTGCTTTTTTTTTTTTTTTTTTTAAAGATTTATTTATTTATTTATACAAGCACTGGGTACAGTCAGAAGCGCGGGAGGGTGAGAGAATTCACCAGAGCCAGAGCGGGGAGCAGAGCAGGCAGAAGGACCAAAGTACACTGCTGAGGGGAGCAGCGGGCGCCATGTGGGACCCTCCTCTGGAGGCCGGGGAGCAGCCGGAATCGAACCAGTGCCACCGGGGAGGCCCTATTGCTTTTGACTCGCATAACTCTTATTAAAAGTGATGCTGGGCCTCCCCAGTGTGCAGTGGTTGAGCGCTCAGTTGCGAAGCTGTCCGCAGCCTCTGCAACACCGGTTCCATCCCCGGCCACCTGGCGAGGGTCCCACATGGCGCGCAGACCTCTCCTGCCGCCCGCTGCTCCCCTCAGCAGTGTACTTCGGTCCTTCTGCCTGCTCTGCTCCCCGCTCTGGCTCTGGTGAATTCTCTCACCCTCTCGCGCTTCTGACTGTACCCAGTGCTTGTATAAATAAATAAAAATAAATCTTTAAAAAAAAAAGTGATGCTGAATTCAAAAAAGATAAACATATGCAATTTGCAGCAACATGGATGGCGCTGGAAGGGCTCATGCTCAGCGAAATAAGCCAGAAAGAAAAAGAAAAATACCGGATGGTCTCACTCATAGCAGGAATCTAGAAAACTTAAATAAGGGACCAGGAAAATGAATAACTGTAAGAAAGTGAAAATCAAAATCAACAAAAACTATGAACCAGAGATACTCTATGAAGGGTGGGAGCGGGGAGGGGAGGGATTGGGGTCAAAATCAGGGGGTTGCAATTGTATGGGGAATATAAAAATAAAATTCATAAAATAAAAAAAAATTTTAATAAATAAATAAAAATAAAAGCGATGCTGAATATTTACATATATACGTACTGGCTTGCCACATCTTCTCTTTGGTGAATTGTTGTTCAGATCTGCTGTCCATTTATTAATTGGATTGTTTGATTTTTTGTTGTTAAATTGAATAAGTTTTTTGTATGTCTTGTATATGTATATTGGCTGTATCATGTGTGAATATTTTCTCTCATTCAGTAGGATATCTTTTTAATCTACTTATATTTTCTTTCCTTATATAAAAACTTTCTAATTTGAGGAAATCCTAATTGTTTATTTTTGGTTTTATTTCCCTTGCCTTAGGGATGGTGTCTTCAAGGACATATTTATCATTATTTTCATGAAACATTGCACCCATTTTTTTCTCTCTATATTTTATTGTTCAGGTCTTACATCTAAGTGTCTGAGCCATTATTTTTGTATGGAGCTAGAGAGTGCACTCACATAGGGTCACAAGCAACACAGTCACTGGCCCTTCCCCGTACCTTGTGGAACATCCCCTGGGCTGCGAGTGAGTGTCACAGGGTGCCCTGTAACACTCAGTACCCTGGAGTCTGGACATGAGTCCTGTGGGTGGGGTCCACTCAGTGTGTGTTTCTTAGGTGGGGTTTGCCCAGGATGAGTTCCTTTGGGTGGGACCAGAGAACAGAATGCTCTTTATACCCTGTCAGAGAAGAAATTCTTTTGGAACTATTTTACACAAACATTAAAAAAAAATATTCAGGTACTCACTACACTCAGGTAGACATACTGGTTAATTCACCCACAGATTTAGAAACACACACACACACATACACAGCTGATAGTATTTTCTCTTTCTGATGGTTCTCAATCAGTCAAATGAGAGAAATTTGGTGAACTCCTCCACATTCATTAATATTGCCTGAGCCAACCAATCAGTGTTTGTGATACTGAATTTTGAAGTCCTACTCTAGAAGAACATACTGGTTCACAAATGCCAAAGTGAAAAAGAGAAGTCAATTTTGGCAGATGGGAAAGTTTGCTGTGGAAACAGCTTGATTCTGTCATTACCTGCAACCAGATCACCTGTCTTTCTGATACAAACTCTCAAGCAGATGGTATATTTCAATTTAATAACTTTATTGGCAATGAAAAAATGCAAAGAGCTGCCAAAAGTAATGCATTGAGTAGCTGTGCTTAGAAACAGGTGTTATGCCACATGTCTTAACTTCTAAGGAAAGTGAGTGGAAAGAGAACAGAGTTTTAATTTCTCAACTCAGGTAAGACTCTAGGGGATGGGAGAGGATTTTTCAAATAGAACGGAATTCAGAGAACTTTCATTGATACAAATCTTTATTGACTATGTTTCTTATTAATGCTGAATTTATTGTGTGCTTATTATGTGCCAGGCTTAGCTCTTGACAAGGGTCAGTGATTTTCCGGGCCCACAGCACCAGCTCACCTAGGACCTTGTTAAATATGCAGATAATCAGGGCCAAGCTAGAGTTGCTCAGTCAGAAACTTTGGGGTTTCTGTTTTTTTTTTTCTGTTTTACTAAGCATTCTAGGGGTGTAGATGTTCTGTTTTGTGAGACCACTTGACATAGCTTATCTCACTGAGGCTTACCATTGACCCAGTTTCACAGGTAAATTGACGAGCAATTCTTTACCTAGGGAGTCATAGAATATCCCTCCTTAGAACTCAGGAGGTCTGAGCTCACCCTGAGTTAGGCCATTTCTATAATAGTATAAATGGGGGTTCACTTCAGACTTCCACATCTGCAGTGAGTTTGTATTTCAGAGCAATGGCAATGATGTCTTTCAGAGGAAAAGATTCAGGTGAGTGGGTGTGGAGACTCTGAGCAGGATCAGCATGCAGAGGACCACGGCAGGAGTGGACAGACCCTGGACACAAGGCTGCCCTCAGCCCTGAAATACGCTCTGTGCTGCAAATGGGAGAACTCTCACAGCTGCCTCTGGAGCAAGTGTGGATAACACCAATCGTCCCTCCAATGTAAAGTCTACTGACTATTGAAAATGTAATATTCAAGGCTAGCTCCATGGAGGGTGATGTAGAAATTTTGTCACCCTCCAGTCTCCTTGATCAATCCTCAGTGGTCCCCAACCCACATCTGGAAAGCATTTGTAACAGGGCTTCAAGGACTTAGAGGTAATGTTCTGAACACACAGTTGCCCATGAACTCTTCCAGGCTGTGCACTCCAGGTGGGAAGCTCTAATCTAAATAGCCAACTTGCAAGTTCCTACAGACACAGGGTCTGATGCAGACTTAAGTTTTGCTCTGACCAAAGAAACAGTAATAACATATAGTTTGGGGATAAAACTTTAAAATAGACAAACTATTCCAGAAATGTGCTCTTAATTCTCATGGTTACTTTATGATATATATATATATTTTAAGATTTATTTATTTTATTTATACAAGCACTGAGTACAGTCAAAAGCACGGGAGGGTGAGAGAATTCACCAGAGCCAGAGCATGGAACAGAACAGGCAGACAGACAGAGGACACTGCTGAGGGGAGCAGTGGGTGTGGCAGGAGAGGTCTGCATGCCATGTGGGATGCTTGCCCCAGCGGCCGGGGATCGAACCAGCACTGCAGAGGCTGCGGGCAGCCTCGCAGCCCAGCGCTCAACCACTGTGCCACTGGGGAGGCCCCTGATAATATATTATTCCCATCTATCCATGAGGAAACAACAGATAATGATTAAGTGACTGAAGATGATGCAAGTGGAAGCAGGGAGAATA